CAAAGGAAACAATAGGTACGCTCAAAATGAATAGTTCCACGTAAAGAACAAAAAACAAAATTGTTACTCATGTGTACATAACTACTTCAGTTTCATGGTTGGTAGTTTAGTAAAAAAGGTTACTGTGACAGCAGGTCCAAGGTAAAATAATTCCCGAATAGAGGGCGCGTAAATGAAAGGTTATCGATGGAATCATTCCTGCCGGTTGGGATTGCAGCAAATCCACTTTTGCGAAGAGAGCGCGATTAGTTTAATAGAAACATTTATCATCATAACCGGTTGTATCAGTGATTGTTTCACTGTACTTTTTGTTTATAACATTCTATACGCGCAAACCTCCGTTTGTGTTGCTTCCATTTTCGCTCCATCGTGTCTGTAATTTCGCCCATCTTTTCTGGCACGATTTCGGTATTCTTTCGATACCACGAGACCGCCAGAAAATATATTATTTTGTATGGAGTGACCCTTTTTATCGGTGATGGGTTCGTAATTAGTATTAAGAGGTGATCTCGGCTCAATCGCCACAATAACATCAACAGTAAATTATAGCTCTTATAGTTCTTCCAGACACCACCGACAACTCCGCAGATTTTAAAAGATAGGAAAAACGTAATCAGGGAATGAAATAGACAGGAAATATCCAAATCTGTAGCAGTGACGATTAGTGTTAGATTACTCCATTATCATCAAATGGAACGCCCAACTTTAAAAATTTGAATAACTACCAATCATGAAATTATTTCGTACTCGTTAACTACTTATAGCTTAAACCATTTGTGAACTTCGTTTACTTTGATTACTGAAACCAAGCTTACTTATTTACTTACGCTTGTTACCTCCGACCAATATTCCCGGCATACTCTGTCCTGGGCTTTCCTCTCTAGTTCTGTCCAATGTTTGTTCATTCCTCTCATATCTTTCTCTATTTCTCGGGGTAAAATGTTCCTTGGCCTTCCTCTTTTCATTTGACATTGAGGGTTCCATGTGAGGGCTTGTCTCATGACGCATTTAGGTGCTTTTCGTAACGTGTGTCCTATCTACTTCCACCGCTTCTTCCTGATTTTCTCCTCCACTGGAATCTGGTTTGTTCTCTCCCACAGTAAGTTGTTGCTGATAGTGTCTGGCCAACGAATCCGAAGTATTTTGCGTAGACATCTGTTAAGGGATACTTGTATCTTCTGGTTAATGGCTTCGGTAGTTCTCCAAGTTTGTGCTCCATACCATAGAACTGTCTTGACATTTGTATTAAAAATCCTGATTTTGGTTTTGGTTGAAAGTTGTCTGGAGTTCCAAATATTTTTCAACTGTAGAAATGCAGTCCTTACTTTGCCAATCCGCGCCCTCACATCTGCATCGGATCCACCTCGGTTATAGATGATGCTGCCCAGATATGTAAAGGTGTTAACGTCCTCCAAGCCATCTCCATTAAGAGTGATTTGGTTGGCGCATGTTGTGTTGTATCGGAGAATCGTGCTTTCCTCCTTATGTAAGTTGAGACCAACTGCTTCAGAGGCTGCTGCTACACTGATCGTCTTCTCTGGCATTTGTTGTTGCGTGTAGAAGCGCCAGATCAGCCATCTGCGTTCTAGCTGTCCATTGGACGCCATGCTTCCCTCCAGATGTTGACGTCTTCATAATCCAGTTGATCACCAGGAGAACGAGAAAGGGTGAGAGTAAACAACCTTGCCTGACACCGGTCTTCACCTCGAACGAGTCTGTTAGCTGTCCTTCGTGCACGATTTTGCAGTTTAATCCATCATAAGTATTCTGTATGATGTTGACTATCTTCTCAGGCACACCGTAGTGTCGAAGAAGCCTCCATAGTGTTGTCCTGTCCACGCTATCGAATGCTTTCTCGTAGTCGATGAAGTTGATGTAGAGTAGTGAATTCCATTAAATTGATTGTTCCACAATGATCCGTAATGTTGCGATTCGGTCGGTGAACGATCGATCCTTATGAAATCCTGTCTGCTGATCTCGACGTTGGGCGTCTACAAAGTCCTTCATTCTGTTTAACAATACCCTGTTGAAAACTTTGTCTGGTATTGAGAGAAGTGTGATGTTTTTGTAGTCATCACGCTGGCTGAAATCTCCTTTCTTTGGTATTTTGATCAGGTATCCTTCTTTCCAGGCTGATGGTACTTGTTTCTCCGTCTGTTGAAGGCACATAGGTTTGCGAATTTCTCACCGTTTTCGTTTCTTTCTCCTAGTCCATGTAGTCTCATGATGTCTTCATATCCAGTGGTGTCGATGACAACTTTGGCATTTAGGTCTCCCACTAGAATCGTCAAATTCTTTGGTGAGTATCTGTCGACAATTGACTGCAGCCTTTCATAGAACCGATCTTTAACGTCGCCGTTGTAGTCGTTGGTAGGTGCATAGCATTGGATGACGTTGATTGTAGTCTCCTGTTTCTTTGTTTTGAACGATGCTTTAATGATCCTGGGTCCATTAGGTTCCCATCCTATTAGTGTCTTTTGTGCTTATTTGGACAGCATCAGTGCAACTCCCTGTGTATGTGAAGCGTTTTCCTCTTCATGGCCAGAGTATGACAGCAGTTCACTTGAAGCTAGTCTCAGTAGTCCAACATGCGTTCAATGTATTTGACTAACTCTATGTACATCCAGGTTGTATCTTTTCGTTTCTGCCGCAACTTGAAATAGTATTCCAGTCTCCCAAAATTTTCGAACGTTCCATGTAAATAAAAGAATGGTTGCTCTGGTTTTTAGAAGAGGCATCGGCCTCGGGACTTCCGACGGAACTCGGCTTTCATCATAAGACGTCATAACACTTCTGAAAGAAGACCTTCCAACTCCCAGGCAGAGTCAAACCGGTTTGAATTGATTTTTCCGGTTCGCGCTTTCTTAGCGAGTTAGTTTTTTTATGAGGTGCCCAACTCGCCTCCTTTATCCTGGCTTGGGAGTGGTAGTGGCCTCTAAGGGTATAAACGATTCCAAAATGGAAGTTTGTTTATATTTTATCCCGAAAATAATACCAAATCCTAACTGATTACAAGTTTATCTTTTTCCCTGGGGATGTCAGATCCCCAGAACTCGCTTGATAAGTGCCTCATTTAGGATATCACTTTTGTGAGCTCGGGCTGATCGGCTGACCCTGAGAGTTTTATTTCCGACCAGGAAAATCCATGGCTGTGATTGGCTCTTGTGTATTTTAGTGTGCTATTTCGGTGACTCTCCCGAAGACGTTTCTATGATGTATAAATAAACGAGAGTTGTGTAACGGAGTCAAAATCATTATGTATGATGTTGCTAACCCGTTCTGTTTTCTTTCTATTTCAGGGGGATCAAACATAAACACTTTGGAAGCTAAAGAACAGGCCCTGAGTGCTCTGAACTTACAGGATGACTCATAAGACTTTGGTACACTATCCACCCTATTTCTGTAGAAACCCCGCGTATTTTAATTTCAAAATGAAAGAATGCCGTGGCCGTACTTCGTGTTCTCTCTTGGTGTGAAATGTTAAGCTAACTCTGTGTGCTGCAATTTTAGATCGGATCCGCTGTTCAGTGACTGCTAATAAAACGTGTTGCAGTTGTGCGCTTGATTGCATTGTGATTGCTGGGTGTTGTAGAATATACGTCTACGCTTATCAAGACTTCTGTTTTGCAGTTTGGGATTCAAGGTAGCCTACCTGGACTCTGGTAGTTGTCTCCTTCGCGTTTATCGACTATACTGAACTGGTAATAGCTTTAAGAGTACCTGTGGACGAACTGGGCAGTCTTCAAACTCAGCGAATCTCTCATATTCTCAGGAGTAAGCTAAGAGGTGGATTTTTATTGATTTTGGCGCTAATCTCTACGCCAATCATTTTATCGTTAGACACTTGTTATTTCTGTTAGAAGCGAAGATTGATAAACAAGTACATTGAATTGATGTAAGTATCACGAACTTAAACAAAAATTAATCCTAAATGGTTATTCTGTGAAGCATGACCGCGATAACCTGGGTTCTAAAACATCTAAGGATTTCGACTTTTTGATTGCATAAGCAAACATTTGCGTAGTGGTTGAAGTTATAAAGTATTCGAAAACAACATAGTTCGCAGAGTTATTATGTTGTCCTCAACCCTGTACTAGCACTTTGAATTCACCTGGGAAAAATATCACAGCCATCCTTGGGAAGCAGATATACTAGAGGCCCCATGCAATAAAAACCGAGCCGCACTGAACATACGCTTATTCACTGACAAATATTTCCTCTTACTTTTAATGTCCCGCACGTTTTGAGGCACAAGATTGATCAAAGTTATCCATGATTTTGAAGGTGGTGGTCGAGAATTGTTTTAATTTCATGAACTTTGAACATAAGAGTCATGTTTTAACTGCCCACCAATGTGAATGAAAAGTAGTTTTTAATATACCATGAGAAAATGTAAGGTTTTGAAATTTAAATGCGATTCCCTATAATCAGATTACTGTCTGTAACCAAAGTGATTTCTCTCATCTAAAGCTCAGTACCATCTTAGTCTTTACAGATAGGTAAAGCAGGTTTTTTTAGGACTAAGTTTTCAGATTTTCGATGAACAGCTAACCCTAAAAAGAACTACTGAAGCTTAAAAGATTTCACTGTGCTACCACAAACCAAATATTTCAAACACTGAAGACTATACAGGCAATAAGTTGTCTCCGTAAAAGATCATGACTGTGGAAAGTGACTTCTGCATTGCTGGGATTAGTTCGGTTCTAAGGACAGTCTAAAGTAAAATAGGAAAGTTCTCCTGATGCAGTATATTCTTTTAGGTAAGTAGAGTTATTCATATTTGAGCCAATGAAGCTGCCTTCGGTCACAGGTGCCTCGACACTGAAATTGACTTTCAAGACCCTTATCAAGCTTGTTTTGGATGGATATAGAGAAATTAAACAAGTGATCACATAGGAAGCATGCAACTGGTTTCCCTGCCATTCTGAAACCTTCACTTTCGATATTTTTACACATTAACAACACAGGAACTTCAGTGTACACGTGTTTACTCGTTTAATATGAAAGGCAATTCATCAAACTCCGAAAGGAATGAAAACAAAAGAACATTTGTATGTTTGAATAGCGCGGATCCCAATTTGTTCTATTGGTCTTATATTTGTTCCAATGACCTTCGCGTTGGTGGCAGTCTAATCATGTCGAGCATTTTCTTGTTTGCTCAGGATCATGGGAAGGGTGAAAGTTCCTACAGCCAATTACAGAATGATTTGCATGAAAAGTAAGTTTTCCACATATACTGGTTGAAACCGTAACCTACGTCCCAATGTTGACGCTAATCTCACTGGCTAATCTACTTAAGAATACCTCAGTATTCCTTATAAATATATGACATTGCAATACGCCTCGAACCGTTTTCCTAATTGTACCTATCAGTTTTACCAGTATTTTACACTGGATTACTGAAACCACGTAGCGCACTGGAGCCACGTTAAGAAGATTTGCACTCGACGCGACGGTTTTATTGCGTGTTAGCCTTATCCTTCCAAACCTAGCTGGTTACAGTTATTTTCCTATGTCTTAGGTTTCGGAGCACCAAATGCAACATCAATTTCAATAGAAAATGACCATTTTCTGATGCTCAGGTATTGTCATCTGACTAGATAGGGTCATTCTTGCGGGGAATTGTTCTAATAGAACCGTCCATCATCGTGTAACTTTGTGAATAAAAATGCTTTATGAGCAAGTAATCAAGTCGGAGATCAGATGTTTCAAAATAATATTCCAACGTTTCTCGCAATGTGTGACCTGTTGGGTTGGTTTCCGTAGCTAGACTGGATTGTCCACTGAATAATTCAATCTGTTGACCATCAATGGGTGTTCGTGAAACAAGCAGAATGAATACGGATAGTCCCAACATACAAAAATTATGTCATGAGCAACTCACATGTCACACTATTCAACTTATCTGAGCCACATGTTAACTTGTGGGTAATATTTGTCCTCTGATTTTAACCAGTAAGATGAGAATTATAATTCTGTTGACTACTAGATCACACTGAACTAGTGAATACAAATAACCCCACTTTATATTTCCCATAGAGCCATAGCATTTGTTAGATTTCGGAATGAGTTTAGGTTGGAAAACAATCAGAACTCACAAAGGACACATCATCTAAGTATATTACTTATTTATTAGTTAGCGACAGTAATATTGATCAGTCAAAGTATAGAACCAGGTACAGTTACATCGGTGTAGATTAACACACTAGCACAGCTAGACGAGATCATGGAAAAATCCTAGGGTGATAGAAGTAATAATAGTTGTCAGTAGGAGAGAATATGGACAATACAGTTCGAAAAGAACGAATTCATAGGATAAAATGGTATATGAAACTCAATAAACAAGAAGACGGGAAGTAAAGGCATTGTTGCCATTATGAACTATTTTAAAACATGTCACCTAGCTTTTCCAGTCATTAGTTATGACCATTGTAAATCCAGCTTGTCCTGGTTCCAAAAGACTTCTGTTCATTTTCGAATTTTAAGAAATACGATATATATATATATATATATATATATATATATATATATATATATATATATGTCAGTCAGTTGCAACGTAGAAATTCGTACGTAAGTGCATCAGTTCATGTCGCCATACCACATCAGCACAGAGATGTAATTGTCAATTCAAATCCAATAGTAGAAGAGGTAGTAAAGGTATTAGAAGTAATCGGAGAGGTTAGAATTAGAAGGTATTATTCACGAAGTATGATTCAGTGAGATAAGTTTAGAAAGTAAAAACTAGAGGTGTTGAAGAATCCAGAAGATTAGGATTTGAGAGAACACAAAGAATAAATGCACTGGCGCCATTGCGAACGATTTTGAGCCATGTCATTCAAGGTCTCTAACCATCGATTATTATCATCTCGCGGACCCCAACCAGGTAGTCGACAATTACCGACATGGCTAAGTCCACTCGTCAATGACTTCATGGATTTCTGCCATGTTTTGGTTTGGCCGCCCCTAACTTTCTCCCAGCCTATTCCTACACTACAAAACAAAGCTCGACGAGGCAGTCGGTGGTTGGGTATACGCAACACATGTCCCAACCATATATATATATATATATATATATATATATATGTATATATATATTAATTCCACAATCCACTGATATTCCTGTTTTTATAACTTTCATTCACTATAAAGGTTAAAGGAAATTTCTGAACAAATCAAGCGAGATGGGGTTTCCATACCTGATGTTCTGCGTCCACTAACACGGGACTCTATAGCACAATGTGTAATCAGTCATTCACATATAGCCTTTCGTTTAGAGGTAAGGTTATCTATAAGTAATATTCACCACTTTAGAACGGCCAAGTGTGTCGGGTGGCTTATACTATAAATTCTGATCGTTTATCACAGAAGCCTGATAGAAAGTAAGCGTTTTAACTTTAATTTACTTCAAAAGGCGAAAGCAAGGGATGTCGTACAGTGACTCATCAAGTACAGTTAGAGAGGGTGTCACAGCTCGTACTGGAAGTGCACAACACGGAAGTCGTTCATATAGATCACCCTTAAATGTCCTTGGTAGAACCTCCAGAGGTATCAGTTTTCTACGTGAAATGCAACGTCAAGGGATTTACCTTGCAAGGCCGCTTACACATCAAATTCCTGAAAGCGAAATTCCAGAAGTATTGATCGAGGAATGTCAAACGGTTTTGCAAGTGAGTATCAGTTTCTGAGTACATTTTTGTATGTATATCGCTTCCGTGTATGTACTATAGGTTTAGATCATAATAATGACTTGAACAAGATCCATTGCAATTACCGGCGTGTATATGATCCACTTGAAATATCTTGCTTGAATCATAAACAATTGTGGATGGTATCTGGTTACTGTTATAATTACCAATATTCACGTGGTTAGCTATTAAGCCACCTCAGTTGTAAATGTTTATAAGATCAAGATTGTTAATGTTGTTTTCAATTCTAGGGAAAGTCGCGGCAAGTGATCGTCCGTGAGCTACAGAATACGAATTTGGACGTTAATATGGCTGTAAATAACTTGCTTTCTCGTGATGATGAGGCGGAACAAGGTAACGGCGGAAATTCTACTGATGGAAACGCACCGGGATCCGGAGCAGGAGGAAACTCGGATGACTGGGACGATGAAGCAGTGGAGCTGTTGTCATTCTTCGAATATCCAGATAGTCACGGACTTTTTGAGACCGATGGGCTAATAGCTGATGAGATGGCCGGACCCCCTACGTCCCCACGTTTCCGCAGCGATTTGACATCTGAATATGGTTAGTGTAACATATAATCACATCAATACATCATTCTCTTGCTATTAACTACAAGTTATGCATTGATTTTGAAGATTACTTCCTTGTCATTGAGTCAGGACTTAAAGTACTGATCAGTAATCTTTAAGTGCAGGATGTTTTGGATAAGCTAATTGGTTTCGTTCTTTGTAAGGGCTTCAATAACCTTTTTAATTGCCGGCATATTTTTTGAGTGGTACGTTATACGCGCAGATAATGTGTCATATTTTGTCACAAACCTTCATCTAACTCACATGGAGACATCTTAAGTTGCTTAAGGCGACTTCAGACAAGTTTAAACTAATGGCTGAAAGAAAATATGCAGTAGTAGCAATCTGTTGGTTTAGTGTCCACTCTCTCATGAAATGAAATACACAAAGGTTGGCCTTTCGGATTTTTAGAAATCCTTTGTATTTTTGTTCAGTTTTAGAGTTGTAAAGGTTTCTCCAAGTAATCTCATTATAAATGTGACCGTGTTCATAAAAGGTTTGCATGATTTTGTAGGCTGATAATTTGGTTAGTACTCTGTGTATAGAGGATTATTAAATCGGTTATACGTTTGCTAATGTAACCGTTATTGTTACCTGTTCAGAATATGGTTTTCTTACTGACCGTCGCAAACGTCGACGTATGGAGTCCCATCTATATAGCAGAGGTAACGATCTTTATTCTGGTCGCAATGCTTCTGTCGTCAGCGACACAACGTACAACAGGACCTCTGTTTCGGATTCATTCAGAAACCCGACTGCTTCAGACTCCGTGAGTAAATTTCCTAAAGTTTATCAGTGTTTATATTTCAATCCTTTCTAGTGTTACTATTTCAACAAGTCTGTTTTGCAAATTGTACTGAAGATCAATTATTAATTATGCCTAAACTTCTTTTAATGTTTGCGTTGGTGGATTGTCTTACAGCCACTTTTCCTAAATGATACCATTTCATTTCCGTATCTACAAACCTACGTGTAATGGACTTAAATCGTGAAGATTGCTGTTGATGATGAAATGTTAATATTCGTTTCCCCATGTACTAACGTGAACACCAAATAAAAAGGCAGTATAACATGAGCTATTCTGATGAAGCTGAAGACTTATGATCATTAAACTGAGAGACAAAATATTTTAAGGATCAATTCCATTCCCTTATTATTATGTAGCTAAACTAGCGACGTTCAGCTATTGTTTTCGTAACCGCTTAGAATTACAGTAAAGAGATTGTCAAAAGTGATGTGAATTATACAATATTTCATACCCAGTGAATATCTAACGTACAAGTTTCTTCTAAGAAACAGTACTTCAGAATGTTATACGAAGTAAATGCATGATTTTTATTAACATGTTTATAAACTTATTGATAAGTTTACTTGATGTTTTGGTATATTGAACTTGTGGAACTCATAGTTTCCATTGGTATTTTCATCGTAATTTTTTTTCATACACAGGCGAATGATAATGTCAAACAATCTGGCAGTTCTACTCGTTATTATGTACAGCTGTGTGATGTACTCGAATTCTGGCCTGATCCTGAAAATTCAGAATTGAATTTGCACTTTGTGCATATCGTAGCACTTCATTCTGAATTGGTTGCTTTAACAGCTTGGGGAGAACTTCATCAATGGAGATGGGGAGATGCTACCCCTTTTATTATGCATAGTACAACAAATTTAAAAGAAGTTAACGATAAAAAAGTAAGTCGAAATTTTGTAAGTTGTTAGGTTTTGGAGGTATCTTCGATCACTCACCTACAATATACATCAGATCACACAGCAATGAAAGAGATTAGGGATGGAAGATACGATCCAAAAAATAGATCCCAGTGAGATAAATTTGAAAGAGAAGAATTCAGGCGACTACAATTTGACAGAACACAAAGAGTGGATGCACCTGAGTCATTGCAAACGATTTCGATCCATGTCGTTCAAGTCTCTAACCACTGGTTACGATTGTCTCACGGAGACCAACCAGTTAGTTTATACCTACTAATATGGCCCAGTCCACTTGTAAGTGACTTCATGAATTCGTGCCATGTTTTGGTTTTGCCGCCCTAGCTTTCTTCCAACCTATACTTCTACACCACAAAACATACCTCGACGAGGCAGTAGGTTGTTAGGCACACGTAACACATGTCCCAACCACCTCGACTGATGAAGTTTCACTACTTCGTCAATCAGTCTGCCAGGCCAGTTTTACCTAGCACCCATTTCCTAACAACAGCAGTGCTTACTCGATGGTCCCAGGATATTCAAGCAATGCTTCGAGGACACCTATGGTCAAAAACCAGTAACCCACGAATATCCCAATTCTTACTGGACATGTTTCACACCCATAGAATGGGATTGAGCGAAACGTTACGCAGTAGACTCGTCCTTTGGTTAGCAGACGGATATCTCGCCTACGCCATAAATGACAGGTTGTCAAAGGCCAATTGAACGTTCTGTAACCATGCTGAGATTTCGTCAGGTACCGGGATATCAGGACTGATGAGACTTCCAAGATAAGTGAAGCGGTCAACATGCTCAACTACTTAACTCGCCATCACTAGTTTAAGTGCTAGTGCAAGCCAATCCTGAAGTAGCAATCGGCGCTTCGATGGTGTGGAGAATTGCATCTCGAACATTCTTGCAATGTTGCTTAAGGGGGTCAGAAGTCTCTGCATTTTGTCAGCGTCTTCACTAAGTAGAACTATGTCATCGACATACTCTAATTTGACATGTGAATCCCCCGGACAAAGTTCAGCTTCTAAAAAGCCAGACGATGAATATGTCGTTTCTCAAAGAATCTCAATGACAAAGTGAAAAAAGAATGGGTAAGGTGGACAACCCTGTTGGACACCGCTTGAAGTAATCGATTCCAATGACAGATTGCCATAATCTCTTACTCGACCAGTAGTGTATTAGTATAGAGCCTGTACCAGGTTAATGTACTTCTTTGGTACTCCTTTCAATGGCAGACACTGTCATAGAACCTCACGATCGATAAAGCTGAACGGCGCCTTGAGGTCAATGAATACAACTGTTGTAGGGCGCCGAGATGTGTGTCTGTGTTCTAGGACGTGCGAAAATGTGAATATTCGGTCTGTACATCGACGTGTAGGTCTGAAACCAGACTGGTTTTCTGCAGTCTGCTTTTACTAGTTCTATTTGGGTTTCGAAGTATTATTGAAGCTAATATCTTAGACACTATATTAGGTAAGCTGATTCCTTTGTGATTATAACAAGAGGACTTTCGTCTTTAGACCGGGACAATCCTTGATTGAGACCAGTCGGATGGGACTGCGTCCAGTTCCCAGGTTCTACCTATTGTTAAGCAAAACACTAGTCGGGTTTCTTTGTTATCTCCTACCTACGTCCAGTAAGACGTAAACAAATACGCGCTCGTACTAGAGCATGATCTGAATCTAAACATGCGCTTTAGAGTGACCGGCAGTCTTCAATGGAGCCTCTTCACCAATGGCTGATAGCTATGTGGTCAAGGTTGGTCTCCGTCGGGTCGATTCTAGGAGTCCCCATGTCAAAAATTGTTTTTCCATATGCCTAAAGTTGGTTTTTGCCAGAAATCGGAGGTTATCGGAGCGTAGCTGCAGCAGACAGTCACCATTATCTCCCCGATGGGCCGCGACACTATATGATCCACCTAAGTGTCTTTTGGCTGAACATTAAAATTACAAGCCACTATTACTGCATCAGAATGCTTAGCTTTTTGAAGAAGGTTGGAAAACTTTCTGTACAACTCATCTTTTACCTCATCCGAGCTACAGTCAGTCGGAGCGTAGGCAGAGACAAAGAAGAGGTGACAGCGAGTATCTCTATCTTTCCTAGCTATTACTGTCCCGTTTAGTCAGACAGCACACAGGCGGCTATCTAATGGAATCCAGTATGAGAGCTAGTTCTGCCCTAAGACTCGATGCCATACCTACACCAGCGAGGCCACGGGGAACATCAGCAGGGCTTCCATGTACACGAAGAGTAAATCGCGACGGCTCTTTATTTTGACATGATGAGGTCAAATAAATGACTCAACTCGGATCCTGTAAGCGCGTCTCGGAGATGAAGCATACCTCAATGGCTCAAGATTCTAAAGCTCTAGCCAGGGAAGCCTGATGTTCTGTTTGGCACAAGTTTTGAACAATAAAAGCTCCAACATGTAGTTTAGAGCGGGTATTTTCGAGTGCTCAAATTGTTAGTATTAGCGGTGCTAGTTAATAAAAGTATTTTTGAAAAGAAACATGTAATCCTGCTAATATAGCTCGATTTGGCGAGCCCGATCACCAAATCAAGGTAGCAGCTACAATTGGGTGTTTCAGATATCTATTAAAATAATTTAGCTAATATCTGCACTCATTTAGTAGCCAATGTTTGCCATAATGAAGGCATTTTTATTATTTTTCAACTAAACCAATCTTCGGTTGTTTTTTTTTATTGTTTTTAAAGATTATGGACTCGGAATCCACAGGACATTCGGAACATGGCTTTTCTGTGGTGTACCATCCACGAGTTTTGGATCTCGGTTTGGCTGATGATAAAGTAATAAGACTTTCTGGCTGCGCTACTCGAGCAACTGTATTAACAGCTACGGGAAAGTTTGCTACTTGGATGGATGAAAGTCTTATCCATTCTTTACCTGCCTCCTACCCATTAGGTTCTTCATCTGGTTCCTTAGGAATGGAGCATCAGGCTGTTTGGTTTCCTGAGCTACGTGATGAGACCGTTGTCGAAATTCATACTGCTCCACTAGTGACTGTTATCCGATGTCTATCTGGTTCAGTATATTGGTGGTATGTTGCAACTGATTAAATTTCGTATATATCCAACATATTTATAGCCTAACAATTTGTACTTTCACCTTCAGCTTAAACAAGTGTAATCAGATAACTTGAATCGCTACCGATTATTGAATGTGTAAAATATTTTCATTTAATTATTTACAGGGGAATTTATCCTTCCTACATGAGGCAGCGAGCAATCGAGAAAATGCGTCAGAATCGTGTCTCATCAGTTTCTAAGAGAACTAGTGTATCATCCAAAAATTCTGGGAATCGTCGGTATTCCAGTATCCACTCCACTACAGAAATATCAAATACTAGCACAGGAGAAATTCATGCGCAAAACATGGCTGATTCATTGAGTTTAAGTACTGGGATTGTACCTGGCTCCTTCGTTTGCATACGTAGTGCTCCAATATTTCATGCTGGGGCGATTGGTTTTACAGTAGTTGGCGGAATACCGAAGGTGTGTTTATTGAAGTTCCTACTCTTTATAACTGTGCATAGTATTTTAGATATTTTCAGAGTAAGGAAGATAATATACGTAGAAACTATGATTTAAGTAGTGGATTTTCATTTATTCAGTTACAAATTCACATCTCCCCCCTCAGATACATCTTTGATAGCATTTATGCAATACGTATTTCTTATAGCCCAACACATTAGTGTTCATTATTATTTTCTGAGTCACATCAAGTGATATATAAAAGATATCTCAACTCTTCGAACATTATAATGAAATACACTTGTTATTTAAAATACTATAATCTAAGGGAAATTTCTGATTTCAAGCAGTTACTGCTAAATCTGTTCTGTACAATAAATGTTTTTATTTTGATGGTGTTTAATCCTTGATAACCATAACTTGATGGGACTATAAATTATGAAATTATGTAGGTATAAGTTAGTAAGGAACTTGCATCTAGATGTAGCCTTCCTAATTATCTGTTACAGCTATGTTATGTTAATATTCATGCATGAAAGTTTGTTGCATGTCAGTCATTCATCATTTTTTACAGATGTATGGTGAGTCAACACTATTCTGTTATAAGTTTATCCGAGCCGTTCTATCAGCATTTTGAGCAAACTTTATAGAATACTGTCAAAAATAACAATCTGCTACACTAACATCAAATCAAGACCTTTCTGAGATCCTTTTTTAGACTATTATAGAAACGATGTTAACCTGTTTTGGAAATTTTACCAACAGGGTTTGCATTGCTCTTCATGGTGTTTCACTATCTCTAATCATGTTGCTGGTTTTACGATGTCAATTTTGTACCTGATTTGTACTTCTTTAGGTGGGAACACTACTCGAAGATGCCTGGAAAACAACAGATGTTTGCCGCTTTCGTGTCAATATTATGAACTCCACTTCCTTTACATCAGGAATTAATGAAAACCCACTTCATCCTCCTGCTCTATCATCTGATTTGTCACAACACATTCTGACTTGCCCTTATGCATTGGGTTTAACAGTTCACAATCAACAAAGCTCGTCACAATGCTCAGTATCTTTGGTTAACAGTGTCTCAGGAGCTCAGTTCCCTAGTGACCAGGTAGCGGTTTCATCGGGTGGAAACAATTCTGCCCTAACATTTCAGGAAATGCCACCCCCACCATCTCCTGCTTCTTCCACATGTAGTGACCAGTCAGGTCCTGTGAGAGTAAGCCCAGGAACATTTAGTGAGTTCATTTTTGAAATGTTCTAATTAGCAATCACTGTCGAATAAGCATTTGAATTGTTTGCTTATATTTATTATCTAAATATCATAAGACTTTAAAAATTGTCACTCATTACTGGTTCATAAGTTAGACGCCTTTCATATGCTCTCCATCCCGATTGAATTAAAGTGTAACCAAACTATCTATGCGTCTATCTTTGACATAAAAATATAAAATTATGATGCATTAATGTTCCTCAATAAATGTAAGTTAAGTTTCATAGCATAAGCATGCATGCGGTTACTGGATTATAACGAATAATTTGATAATGAGTGTGGACTTTTGTTCCAGTAATACACAGTATGGTTTATAGAACTTAAGCAGTGAAACAACTTGAGTCAAGTTTGTTTTTGAAACCTACCCTTTCATTAAATCGACTAGTATCTCTTACTTTCTTATGAAGCGATCTTTTAGGATAAAGATTTGTGCACAAAGTTTGAATATATATTGACTGATCATCTGTCAAGTATTTTGCATGTGCCGTTTCTGACAGTCACGTTCTTTGTATTATTGCCTTATGTTTACAGAGAGGAAGAAGGTTCCTAGCGTCTCGGGCGATCGTGGTGAACGTATCGTTGGAGATTGGGACATCGGTAATCAAAATAATGGTCGCAGTGTGCGTGGACGCTCCGCTGATCGGGACTCTTCCAATGGTATTTCACTCAGTTCTGCTAACAAACGTGCGTCCGTCGATTTAGGACATGATGCTAATGATATAACGACTAGATCGGATATAGGATTCAATAGGGCATCTAACAACTCCATAGTTACAGAAGAGGATTGGTGTCTGAGTGATGTTGTGTTCGTCGAGGATGGCCGAACTCAGCCAGTGGGTATTGTACTTAAAGTGGATGGGAATATTGCCGCTGTTAAATTCTTGAAGGTTGGTTGCTTTCTATCTCTGTTTATTAATATTACATGTAAAAATTATTTATAAATATAAATGTACAGCTTAAGTAAATGATGTCACAAAGAAAATTATTTCTCTGAAGCTTCACACTTTTTAATGAATCAATGAATTTTTTTTCGTTGTTTATTTATTACCTCACAAAAGTTACTAGTTGACTAAAGTTTAATACAAACCTTTTATTTGTAGGAGCAAGAACGATCATGTGTGGCTGCCAATTGTCCATATTCTCCTGTATGTACTCTCATTAATAGCATTTTGGGAATCGGTTCTTCATTAGCCGCCACAACATCCACTTTTCCCTCCATATCCGCTGACCCAATGAGTTGGCTCAACGTAAGTTTCATAACTAAGGTAGTGTTTAGATATTTTCGCTCGCAGTCATCAGGTTAAATGTAGTAATTAAGTTACCTGTTTATATGTAGGAATGTTCTCTTATCTTCATAGTGCGGGATTTTCTGTAACCTCATATTTAGCTAATGTAAACTACAAATCGATTAATGTATGCATCAAAGTTAAGAGCATTATATATTTATATAAGAACAATGCTATGATAATCTGAATGGATATAATGAAATGTGTATATTGTGTTAGATGATTTTATTCTTATATTGAAGTGATGGTGGTATTCTTTGAATTATTGATTATTATATCAAACTTGATTCGGTTGGCTATAAGTTGCGTATTTGTAATTGAATAGATAGAAAAGGGGATGCTTGTACTCGATAGTCTGGCGTATTATGGCTTTTAGAACATTAAACAAAGAATTCTGATTTGATACTTTCCACCGCTAGTTTGGTTGTTAAGTTTGATAACCTTAGTAATAATTTCTGTTCCAAACAGCATTTATCAACTTTGCACGTGGAAGTTTTCTACAATCTTGTTTCTGTTTTGTATATAGGATTGTCGATTACTACGCAAAGAAGACTTAACAATTGTTCGTAATGCTGGGTTGGTACGGGTCCCTGATGTTGTACAACGCACGCCTAGACGTGTGTTTTCTGCCCCGAGTGGCGGTCGGAATTCAGCTGATTCAAAAGTTGTAAAAGGATTGCCTTCCCCTGCTCCTAAAATCTTAGCACTTGCGACTGAAAACAGTCGTATCCATGTAATTGCAGAACAAATGGATGGTGGATCTTATCAATCCGCTTTGTATCAGGTTTACAATCTATCAGGAAAATTGATTATCAATCAAAGAATGCCAGTAAGCGCTTCTGCACTCAAACCTGTTTCAGAACTAAAAGATGGATCAGCCACACTAACCTGTCCATCTGAAGTGAGTTTTCTTCCTCATATTATTTGTTAAGCGTATACTTATTGTTTTTACTTTAACCACACCAGCCGTGCCATCAAATTTGTTATCATAAAAATATCTCATAATCTGAATTGTTTCAATATGAATTTCCATTGTTCATTGGCTTATAAAGTTTTACATACAATTGAACTTCTCAAGTTTTTAGATCACCTTATTGACTAAAGTTTCGGGGAAATAATATTTTATTTTCGCATTCAATCAATCTACAGATACAGGTTTACTGAGTTTACTATAAGATAGTTGTCTGCTCATTTAAGAAATTAATCTTTTAACATCCTCACATTATACAGTATGCTTTTATTCTGCATTTTTGTGTTAATCTTGGAATTTGTTTACGAAATATGTATCAAGCTAGTGTTTTTAATACTCACATTCACTAACTGAATTAATCTTCATTATAATTTTTTTGTTAATTGATGATTTGTTTTTCTGTGATAGCATCCGTTACTGCTACGCGACCCTGGAGGTCTAGTAATACCTTTTATTCCACCTTCAAGAACAGCCAGTCATGAAATATGGACTAGTTTGATGTCGGTTGATCTCCCTCCTGTCCAGTGTGCATCTTTCGCCTGGATTCGAAATAATTTGCCGTCATCTGGAACCTCAGGATGTATGAATGGACGGCAGTCTTCAAAGTCACAAAGTGAACAGCAGCCACGTTGTCTGTTTGGCTTAGTTGTTGTACAAGACCTGAATTTAATGCAGCATATTCTTCGAGCCAATGATGTCCAAGTTGAGAAACTGGTATGTTTTCCTGTTATTGTTTATCATTCCATAGTTTTCCTTTCGTATTCAACATACTATTAAATCTTTCGGCATTTCCTTTTTTATCCAGTAAAGAAAGACCAACTTTTAATATCGACTATTAACCCGAAATGAATTAGCTATGGCTTTTATCGGCTGGTAACAGCTAACCTATGGCAACTAGTTTTGTAGCATATAAGTTTCATCCTTTCCCAGTTTAGTATAGTAGACAAAAAATTATCTTAACACATTTTTTTATCTTTATCACTCTTGCGGACTGTATTCACAGTCTCATTAAAAAACCAATCATTATGTATAGATAATATGGTATTTTTTCTACAAATATCGTAAGAGATATCTGAATAAATGTGTTCAACATTTGACAATCTCTAATTCACACTGACTGCTTGTTCCCTCAATTCACAATGTTTAAAATATGTACAAGTAAAGTGATCATCTCCTTACTCTCCGTTGTTTAACATATCAGGTGCTTTTAGCTATATATTAAATGTAAACTATTTGTTAAACCTTTCTTATGTTTCTTTAGGATCATTCTAAATAGAATCTAGTAAATATCAAACTTCGGATTACATATCTGCTAAGTTATTCAGTATGCTCATCAACCTAAACTATTTAAATGTATTTGGTACGTAGTGATATGATCGATTTAATAGGATTTTGAACCAAACTGTGACTATCAGTAATAGATATCCAGCTTTTTGCCAATCTGTCAGTAAAATGAGGGATTTCTTACTACTTTGAAAACCCAGTTCATCTTGTGTTAGTAATTACTATAGCTTAAACTAGACTAAGTCTGACTATAACGATGAAATAGTTTTACACATGTTTTTACATTTGGTAACGTGGTAATTCACTGGTTAGCCAACAAGGTACCCATTTGAACTGTGATTTCGGGGAGCCACTTAGTTCTACTAATTTATATTCGAACAGTGTATGTCGTGACCGAGAAAACTAGCGTGTACTGGGCGTGTAAGTTACACTTCGGTCCTTCATGAAACATTGGAATCAAATATGTATTTTTTGACCAATAATCTCAATGCAATTATTATACATCAACTTCTAATATGGTTTTACATTTAACCAGTTGGCTGCTGATCTGTCTTCAGTGGAAAGTCTTAAAATTGCATGTGAACTGGCGGATGGACGGCGCAATTTACTTCACATGGCTGTATCAATGTGTGCACCGCAGTCTAACAGAGAAACTAGTCCTGAATGGCTGTCAAAACTTGAACCTATCCTTACTGGCCCAGTATTACGATCTACTTTTGAAGATAAGAACAAAACAATTAAGGAGGCCAACGAATCTTCTGATGCTACTGTGGTAAAAGTAGTTAATTCAAATACTTCCAGCCGTCAACCTTCATTTTGGTTAGTGATACCTAAACTTACAATAGACTGTATTATTTATCATAACTCTGCACGAAAATGTGTCGCTTTTATAGTAGTAATTTTTCAACTTCTACCTAAAGTTTCAGTTAGAGAACTGAAACATCTCTCCGTTTGCAATGTCTATGTTTACTGTATGATTAAACCATACTTTCTGGTTTCGCTTTCTCTTAGCTTTATCCTGAAACTTTTGTTGTTATTCTAACCAGCATCGGAAACCAAACTAAGATATGCGGTCTGTTCATAAACTCATTTTAGCGTTTGGGAGAATTTATTTGTATGGTTCACAAAAGAATTATAACCTCAGTAATTGAAAACTTAGTTGATGAGGATCATAAGTGCAGTATATGTGCCTTATTTCTTTGTATCCATCATAATCATTCAATCATTATTCACTCATGCTTCTCATTCATTTCTTTTACTTAGATATCCCCCATATTTGCTTGATATTCACTCCTTCCCTTGTTACCTTGTGAATTTTCCGTCTCTCAGTTGATGTGGAATGTGCCAACTTCGACCTACAAATTTTTGTATCGGGCTCTTATTCATTATTAGTTGACTATCTATTCTTCAGACTATAATATACAAGCGAGCCAGATATGTTTTCATACGTTTCACAAGATTTTGAATGATTTTTCGTGACTTTTTCTCATCCACATTATTTATCTAAGCTTCATAGTTGTCCCTTCCATTATATCGTTGCATTTTTGTCACTAGTGGGAAGTACTTCGTGTGATTTCAGTTATTATTTGGCATATAATCTTCTCCCTAAATATTGTATATTGTTTGTCAGTCATTTATCGTATTACACTCTTCTGATATCTATTGGATTTAACTGAATCCATTAAATAGTCAAAAACTATCCTTGTTGTTAAACTGATGTGAATAACTTAACACTTTTCAGTATTAGGATTATTTGTAATTATAATTGCACATTTGAATTTACTCTAGGTATTGTTGTATAGTTATTCTATGTAACCAATCAATTATTTTTCACCAATATGTACTTTTTTAAACGAACAGGTCATCCGTAGCTCGATCTTCTGGTGGCTCAGGTTGTTTAAGTATGCATGAACTGTTTATTCGATCTTCTATTGAAGCTGCTACTGTTGCGGCGGCAGCAGCATTATCCAACTCTACCTCACGTGGTGAATCGGACATACGCATCACCTCCAACACTACTCCGTCATCTGGAAATGGTATAAATTTTTGGCATCTTCCCCCAGTACGAAAAGATGAACTTACTCGAAGAATATCTTCATATCGCATACTTCGTCTTTTAGTAGAGAGTCGACATATGGTGCCTAGTTTGATCCCTCTTTTGACTGCTCGCAATACTGAAGATCTTACACCATTTATGTTGGCGATTAAAATTCGAGCTTACAGTGTTGCTCGATTTTTATACGACACAATTCGGGTAATTATGGTCCTTTTTAATCAATTAATTTTCAATTTCTTTTAATGAATCAATAATTGATGTTTGTGTTGTCCATATAGAGAAGCGGTGATTTCAACTAAATGTCTAAGTTATTTGCCTATAATTCTGTTTTGCTTACTGTTATTACGTTCGACCCTCATGAGGTTGTGTAACTAACTATACCATAAAGCCAAACTTGGACTATCCTTAGATAGCCTTGAGGAGTTTTATTAATCAGAAGATAGTTGTTGTAAACATGGTTACAAAAAAAATACAAATTTAACAGGATAAGTAAATTTATTCCGATTTTCAAAGGTTTCTTCCGTCTTCAAATTAAAAAATAGAAATCTGAAAGTTTTACCCATGTCGCTTTGTCATTTGTCTTTTGTCACCCTAGTAAGACCGTAAGTTGTCTTTCAGGTATCATCGTATATCTTCGATGCAATTGAGTTAGGTGGAGGGGAGGGAATATCTATACCACTTAATAACTATACCCCAGTCTTGAAATAAACTTAAAATCTGCCTAGTTCTCTCGAACTAACTTTTACTAAGAGTCCTATCCTATATTCCGAGGAAATAATACAGTTAAAAAGCAGACTACCTACCCATTTTTCCGTCTTTTTATTCCTTTCTTATCTATTTTCACAGTACTTCTAATTCTATAACGGGATGATTCTAAGCTCATCACTTCCAAGGATATTTCTCTGCGATAGTAACATACAGCAGCAACTTGTACTATTACCATAGGTTCTTCTACACATGTCAAAAGAGTACTTAGGAGCTAGCGTGCTATAAGTAACAACAGTTAGCCCAGAACCACAAAGCATTGTTTGTCAGCAAGACTGACTCTTAAGTACTTACCTGTAGCGGCTTTTTGTCAAGCACTCATCGTCATTCGTTTCCCGTAATCCCATTTCATGGTTGTTCAGAACAAAGCAAGGCTTTGTCGATAATATGTAATGACATGTTCTGTAAGATTACACATAATTCTGTATATAATATTCATTTTTCTTTGAATATCTATGACTTTTAAATCGCTCTCAACGCTGATTCATTAGGTGGGATGTGTAGATAAAGTCATTCAAAAAAACTACGTTGTAGGCTACTTTTCACTTTATTGTACTCACTTACTTCAATGGAGCATTGTATAGACCACGTCTTCACACTCCGACAGGTCCTGGAACACAGACATACATTTAGGCGTCCTGCAATAGTTGTCTTCCTGGACCTTAAGGCGGCATTTGACTCTGTTGATCGTGAGCTTCTGTGGCAGTGTCTATCATTGAAAGGTGTACCAGAGAAGTACATTAACCTTATGCAACCTCTCTACTCTAAAACTACTGGTCGGGTGAGAGCTTATGGCGAACTGTCATCGGAATTCTCTACTTTAAGTGGTGTCCGTCAGGAATGTCCACTTTCCCCATTTTTGTTTAATTTTGTCATAGACATGCTGCTAGGTGTAACCTTATCCTCGTCTGAATTTTCAGGAGTCGACTTTCTACCGGGAAAATCGCTTACTGACCTAGAATATGCCGATGACATAGTTTTATTCAGTGAAGACGTTTACAAAATTCAGTCTTCTGACTACCCTAGGCAACAATGCAAGCATGTTCGAGATGAGGTTTTCCCCGTCGAAATGCAAATTGTGGCTTCAGGAATGGGTTGCATCAGTACCTGAACTAGTGATAGGGAGTGAAGTAGTCGAACGTGTAGACCGCTTCACTTCTCGAATGATATCTTGGATCTCTAATCCTTTTGATTATCGTTAATGCTTCTGCCTCCTACAATGGGATTTGAATTTATCATTGCATCTCTATGCCAATGTTGTATGGTATCTTGAACTGATGTACGTACGTACGAAGTTCCACGTTGTGGCCGACTGACTGGACAAGATCAACGTGTTGCCGGAGTCAGGATTTTGTTATCACGTCTCAAAATCCACTTATACTACATAGATATTTCTATTGTTTTAGATCATCTTGTAAACTACTCAGATGTTGAATTGTTTTATTTAATATCTTAGTGTATTTCCGAATCGCCTGTCAATTCTACTGTGAACGATTTAACGAATGTTCCCATGCATCAGGCTTCTGACCGATCTGCTTTAGATTTCTTCTCTCCAGCCAATCACAAACTGGATGATTCGCCACTTTTTCAGCTTTGTTATAACGACACTTGCAGTTTCACATGGACAGGTCCTGATCATATTAGACAAGTATGTGATTCCGTTTGATTATCATTGTTTTTTATATTTTAAAGACAGTGTAGAATAGTTATCTTATTACTTTATTAAAGTACTAAAAATATTCGCGATCAAATTATTCAGATGCTTTCAAATTAGTTCAAAATGAAGTTTATTCATGATAGTCCTAACTTTTTGAGAACTTTGCTTGTCACCGTAAGGCTACTCTAGATATTTTTATGCACTTCAATGTCGACTAACAAAAGCGCATTTATTTTACTGACGACTATAGTGATAATTATTCTTTATTTTCAATGTTAATGGGCTTGATTTTATTCACTTTTTGTCACTTGATTTTTATTAGGATATCTTCGAATGTCGCACTTGCGGTTTAATGGACTCTCTGTGTTGCTGTACGGAGTGCGCTCGTGTCTGTCACAAAGGCCATGATTGCCGCTTAAAAAGAACTTCTCCAACAGCCTATTGTGATTGTTGGGAAAAATGTTGTTGTCAAAGCCTGATATCCGGATTTCAGGCTCCTCGGCATGAATTATTTTATAGGTTGTTATCAGAAACGAAGCTTTTACATCATCGGAATGCTCGTGGGGAACATCTGTTACTTTACTTGGCTAAATGTATGGAGCGCCAAACGCGGGAGCAACGGCAACACCGCCCATCTAGACGTCGCCTGACTTCTACAACAAGCCGAAATAATTCTAATTGTAACCCTCCTGTTACTTCTGTTTCAAACGCAACATCTAATTGGGAATCGAGCAATGGAGCTCAAAATGTGGGACCAGAGGAGCCTGATCATGATCTAGAACCTCCTCGATTTGCACGTGATGCATTTGAGTTGACTCTTGATTGTCCTGCAGCTGTTCACAGCATGCTGACACTAGACAACAATTCAGATATTCTACATACTGATACGACTCATCAAAAGAATGGTTTCATTAATGAAGACCAAGTAGGATATTATTTTTCTAATTTCTTGTATCTAATGTTAGTGTCCACTTAGCCTGTAATCATTAAACTGTCGTATTTCTCTTGGTTATCTTGTCTCTTTGACTGATAACATATATTTTTTTGGTTTCAGTATTGAATTTTTTGGATTTGAAACATAATAAAGTCATATTTTTCAGGTTTTTCTGTCATCTCAAGGCGGTACAAATCAATTGGATGATTTTGTATTTACGCTGATTTGCAAGTGTCCTCCTGAATTAACTGACATTTTGCTGTCTACTTTAAACCGATGTATCACTAGTTTCCCTCCAAATACAGAAGAGAAGAAAAGAAAGATTCTAGATGATACTTCGTTGGCAAATACACCAACTAATTCTGGATTTTCGAAGCAGAATGATTATCCTAACTCAACAGAAATGGGATCAGCGGCTGCTCGATTCATTCGCTCTGTAGCTCGAATATATGCTAGTTTATCTTTGGAATTGGCTCCAGACCAGAAGAAGAAGAGGCGAGTACAATTTATTTAAAACTCTGTTTTTCTTCATGATATGGTTTTGTTTTACATTCTGAACTCCATAATTCGTATATCATCTAATTTTCTTATTTTAGCCGTTTAGGTTTGGCTCAGCCAACGCTTTTGGATCTTTGTCGACATGTATTCAGCAGTTTGGCTCCAATCACTATTAATGAATTGCCTGTACTTGCCGCTAGTCTTCTTGTCCCTATCCGTACAGGCACTGTACGTCCATGTGCACCTTTCTCATTCACGTCTCAGTCGAGTGAAGTTACCTCGGTAATTTTTTTTCCAAGTTTAATTATTCAAGAGAAACTGTTAGCTTATACACACGTAAAGTGGTTTATTATATCAGTGCGTTGAAGTATAACAGTTGACTTTTATAATTAGTATACTAGTTTAATTAGTCTCAAGTATATTTACATATTTCACTGGTATGATAAAAACTTTAGTGTTCTGTTTGCGCTACATTTTAGTTAATTCATAGTAGTTAAAATTTTGGCCTAATTATTACTGTATACAACATATTTAATTATCTCAATTAGGTGTTCTACGTTTTCATTTTTTTACATAAAATAATAAAGTCATTTTCTTTATTTCTAAGGGACTTGAATTGTTAATTAATGCTGAAAGAAATAACTTTACACGCCAGCAATTGCTTTCATCTAGTGAAGCCACGAAATCTGATGATCTACCCAACAGAGGAATACAGAGATCCATGAGCATCGATGATGGATATAGGGTAATCGATATCGTTTAATCGTTTGATTTGAGATTTTGTTACTTCTCTCATGAATAGCAAATCTTCAATTCGGATTATCTATTTTTGACGTTATTACTCTTTATCAGTCATAATCTATTTATTGATATTCTTCGATTAGTGTAGTTATAGTATTACAGTTTACGGTTGTTAAAACTGTCAGTGTATATCTTTGTTTCAAAAATGATTATGATCGAAGTGTTCTTCAATTTTAGTTTTAAATTTATGAATAAATGGTTTTATATCAGATAACTTTTTTGATACATCCTTTCTGTAGGATAGGGCAGTGAGTGCTGTTAACCACATAATTTATTATTAGAAAGAAGCGGGAATATACACAATTTTTTGCGTCGTTTATAAATTTGATTGTATGACGAAAGCCTGGTTAAATCGAAAACACTAGGAGATTTGTCCAACTTCTTATATGCAAAACACCTTTTTATCACAATGCCAATTTTCTCAATCATCATCCGTACATATGTGCTAAGTTAATATTATTTTTTTTATTACAGCATCATCACACAAGTCTCAATATTCAACCCACTTATCGTAGTGTTTCAGAATCTGCTACAGTTCCTCCTATGCGTCACCACAACGTTATATCCACATTAAATGTCGAGTTATCCTCGCCAAATGCTCCTACCTCAGATACTTTGGAATCTGATACCACTAAGTATACTCATGCAGAGTCAAACATTGAAGTTATATCTCCCACCACAGTTACACCCTCAATACATGATCCTTCATTACTTACTCTTCAAATGCAGTCCACTATCACTGATATCGAGACCAGTGCTTCTGAACACACACAAACAGTTAGTTCCACTATTATTAAAGCCTTGCCATTATTTATCATGCTGAATTGTTATTCTCTATTCAAATTTTAACGGGAAATTTTTTAAAGTAGTAATAATATAACTTCTCATGTCCAACTAACCTATATTTTATGCAGAACTGGTTTTATTTTTTCTGCAGTTATGACAAATTTTCCAAACTTTTGACCGAACGCCAATGTGACTGCGTTGGATTGTAGTTAGGGTTCACCACTTTAGTGGCCTGTAAGCTGACTCCTTTATTTATGACGTTGGATTATGCTATGAAATAAATCTCCGCTTCAGCTTCCGTTTATCATACCTAGACGAACCCCGTTCGTGTGACGGCGTTAATACGAAGCCGAACACATATTTGGTTGAATGACTTTATTTCAAGCATTCATTTGAACAGCAGTTCGTGGTGCACGAGTAGGTTGGATGAAATTTAGAGGCGGCTAAACCAAAACATGGCACAAATCTATGAAGTCATTGACAACTGGTTTAAGTCATGTTGGTAAGTGTAGACTACCTAGTTGGGGTCCGCGAGATGATAGTAATCCATGGTTAGAGACCTTGAATGACATGGCTCAAAATCGTTTGCAATAGCGCAGTTGCATTTATTCTGTGTTTTCTTGAATCCTAAACTTTTTAATTCTTCATCACTTTATCCATCCATATGAGTTGGAAAACCAAACGAAGGTCGCATACCGACTTCAAGATCTTTAGGGAAGAAACGACGTTTGGCAACTTAAACTGATATACATACATACGAAGTTTTACATTGTAACTGACTTACTTAAGTAGATAGACGTGAATGGAAAGCATACAAGCAAAGCAAAGATAAGTGGAGAGGGCGAGCGTTCCAACTCCATGTAGTGAGGTACGACCAAGCATTTATAGTCAGACGAAAATAAGCCAGATATACGATAAGCAAAGTAAGCGGCACATGCACGCACTCGAATAATAATATTAATAATAGACAAGCTCGAAAGACATGAATAGTAACTCGGAAAGAAAGGGTTAATTAGTTTGTCCGAAAGCTAGGAGCGATCGTGTGGACTGTCAAGATTTAGGTATAATTCACTGTAAACCCCATAGTTATAATTCACTAAGATAAATTGAAACCTCTAACGTTTTGTTTAGATTCCTTTGGATTATCGTGATAAATGTCGGTTACTTACATGCTATTCGATTTGGACATTTTTGTGAATTGCATTTAGTTACTGCGATATAAAACTACGTAATCTATCCATCACTTTCAATCGAGGTTGATATAAATAATTTTACTTAACTGAAGTAGAAATATTTGTATTCCCCGTTATCTCATACATTTTTCATAATTCTAAACATATTTGTAATAAATCCGTAATTATATTGATTGTATTACACTCTGCAGGTTATGAGTTCAACTGCCGATACATCTATTGCTTCAGTCAGAGCAGATCCAAATAACTCATCCGTTCATTTCCCTTCATCAGCTGTTCCAAATGTTGCTAATACCTGCTCTTTGAATTTCGTCTTTACTCCTAATTTTTCCGTCAGTGGCTGCACAGAGTCCATTTTCCAGATTCAGTCTTCTGGGGAATCTCATACTTCTCCTACTTATGAATCTCCTGATGACAATGCTGTTGAGGACGAGGCTGTTACCGAAAGGATCGGCGATCCAAAAGTGACTCACAGTGAAGCCGTTGATTCTGGGACTTGGCCTTATCCACAACGTGAAGCACCAGCATATCATTCTCATATATTTCCCTTAATGCCGGATGATGGTGCAGTGAATGACCCCTGCGATAATGAGATATCATTTCCTGGTGCCTCTAGACGTCGTGTAACCGAATCTAGTAGTAATAGCTTTTGTAAACGCCGTAGAACAATCGAACCAGATATTTCCTCTCCTGAGTCAAAGGATGATACCGCTCAAATCGATTCTCATATAAATTACCCAATGTCGCCATCAGCTCAGGATGAACTTCCTTTGTCTCTTTTGGAGACAGATGCGACTGTCAGCCAAACAAGTAGTACTGCCGTTACACTAGGAAGCACTACAGATTTGGATATTAGATCAGAATTATCATCTAATTTGAATGCTGAACTTCACCCAACATCTAGTTTTTCTACAAATATGGTACCTGAATTGGTTAGTTGATAATTTTTGTTATTGTAATAAGTGTATCACATTTCCTATCCCATGCGCATGTACAGTTATTTTTAGCACTCATTGGAGACATAGCTAAGCTCAAACGGAGTACACTAGTATTTCTGCATTTATTTAGTATCCTATGTGTTTTTACAAACTTATATTTATAAGGATGAAAAGGATTATATTTTGTTATCGATGGATTGAAAAATAATTATTTTACTGTTATTCAACTGTTATATTCCATTTTTTCACTCATTAAGCATCATTGCGTCTCTGAAGTATCTGATCGTCAACAAGAAGAAATTGGATTTAGTCGCTTGCTCAATGCTGACGTTGATCTCTATCAGTCATCATTGTCTATTCAAGAGGAACCTTTACCTGGGCGAACTGATGATGCTGCTAATGGACAGCAAAATAATATCGGTTTTCCAATTTCTGAACAGTCTAACGCTTTCCAGGCTGAAGATGTATCTGATGGTCAAGCTTCAGATTATGATGAGTACGATGAGCAAGATGATGGTGATGATGGTGAAGATCATGAGGACGACGATGAGGAAAATGAAACTGAGGATGAAGATGGTGACCAAGATGTTTATGGTGATGGTGACCAACTTATAGAAGGGGAAGATGATGAAGACGATGAGGATGATGAAGACGATTCTTCCCATCATAGTGATGTAAGCTGGTTTTATATTTTACTTGGTCTAAGGTAGCTTACTGTTTAAGATCTAAACATATTTCTTTGTTTATCTTTGTTAATGTCTAGGATGAGAGTTACTTTAAATGCGATCTGTTTAGCAAATATAATCTAGGGAATTCCTGTGTAACGTGTATTTTCATTCTTAATTTCTGTATTGGCAGGGATCAAGTGCAGATGCTGGAAGTCGTTCAACCTCTCCCACTTGGGTTTCATGGCCAAGAACATCTATATTTTCTCGCTTGAGTTCACGAGCCGTCTCACAGAGTTCTGAGTCCATAGTTACTTCTGCAAATACCACAGATGCCTTAAATAGCAGTCGGCACAGCACCAGCGATCCAAATGTTGTCACAACAGGTCAAAGTTTGGCTAATGTAACTTCCGTCACTCTCCAAGGGCGAAATACTTCTAGTTTACTGTCTGGCCGTCGCTCTGTTCAGTCAGTTATCGGCTTACTGAATACATCAACATCCTCTGCAACTCCGACCCTAGTGATTTCAAGTACGGGAAATGTAACCAACGCATCTGCCAGTAGTGAAACTGCTGTTACAAACGCTACCAGCTCTGTCACTACTCCAGCTGTATCTACTAATGTAAGTTATCTTAGTAAATAATTTTCGCCTTGTATTACCGTAATATTTTTAAGGGATAATTTCTTAAATTAATATCAAATGTGTTAACCACTTATTTTATTCTGATTTATAGATGGGATGTATCATGACAACACAGGTATACTTGTGTCGTACATTCGCTTGTCTTCTGCGAGTAACTGCTGATCTTCTCACTGAAATTCAAGGGGAATATAGTACCTTTTCAGGTTCTTTGCGGCGCTGTACATCAGTTCCCACTAATATTGGCCTCCCCTTGACTGTTTACGAGCAGCAACGCCGTTTGCCCATATATTGCACATCTAGTATGGTGGCCGCTTCTACAACGTCAGCTAACAATCAACCTCATACTCTAGTATTGACCCCAAGTAACACCTTGTCTTCTATTTCTCGTCCAAACTCAAGCTCTACAGACCAACCATCAGCCATTCGAGGTCGTTTAATAAGATCGTGTACAACTGCTGTTTCATTGGCAAGTAGTCGTACTAACTCAATAAAAGTGGATTCAGATATACAAAATGTTCAACTTGTAGCATCTGTTGGTGCAGCTTTAATCCCAGTTTGGCAATGGATAACCATGGCCATGGATAATCTAGAAGCTCAATTACGATTTTCAGCCTCTTGGAATGCATACTTCCCCAATAAAAATACTACGAAAATTCAACCAAAGATTAATGAAAATCAAGATGGTAGATTTCTCTATTTTATTTTCAAGCTTTTTTTGTTTTTGAAACTTTACTGCTGAATTATATAGTTATGCTTTATAGTTTATTATACTCTATCATTAAAAACTATTCTGATTGCATTCTGTTTTGATTATTTTTCAGGTATTAGTTCAGTTCGTGATACCTCGGTGTCCTCGGTGAGTGTTTTTAAAATGTAATGTTTATGATAATATTATATTCTCACTGTTGTTATGTATATGGTGTTATAACTTGGCATTTAAACAGTAGACCGAACAAATCATATATCAAAGCAAATCACTATACATTATATTTATCTGCAAAAGAATTGAAAATAAACAGGTTAGAAAATAATAGGAATAATAATCATATGAATGACAGTTTTGAACTAAATTTAAGCAATATAATTCAAAATGCACCAAATGAAGATACAATTAATGATAATCAGATTACTTTTTATGATCTCTCTCATAGACAGTTTCCTATAGTGAGTCAATATTTGAGAGAGAGTTTTCAATAATTGTCTGTTAAGTTATTCTTAATTATTGAATACAGTTGCTTTTTGTTGCACTTGTTTTACGTGTGATCAAAATGTCTATAAACCGTCATTGTGTTGAATTCTTTGACAAGTAAATTCCGTTTTCTAAATGTTATTTTATATATTATTTCTTAATGTTGAATTTAGTCTTCACACGTCAGTAATGAAGCTAATAACAGGCGTGCACATGCTTCAACATTATATTCTAGAAGACCTGCTACTGTTGCAAACACTTCATCGTCTTCTACAACAGCTAATACACGATCCTCTTCAAATGACCCCATTCTTGTCAGTAGTTCTATAGACAATGTTGCAGTGGTTCTTGGACAAAGACAAGATTTCTTGGCCTATTTATTTTCTATAATGCGTGCTTCAGGTGGTGATCATGGCGATAGTGTGCCTTTCATTGATCCGCAAGTGAACAAACATCTTGCCTATATTTTAGATGCATTATTATACTTCTTCCGTGTTTTTGAATCCTCTTGGCCGTCTGGTATTACACGACAATTAAATTCAGTGTTACTTAATCCTAGTGTTCGTTTCAAATTAGGTGATGCACAACAAGAGTGTACTGAAGAAACTGGAGAGGTATAAGTTTTGTTTTGAATGTTAAATTATTACTATTATCATGTCAATTCATAACATGCAACTTATATAAATTAAATCTTTTGCAATGATCATAATTCTGTCTAATATTTAATGTCGATTCATTTTTTTTTTAGAAATATTTCATACAATTTTTCCCATTGATTTACGTAACTAGAGTAAGAACAATTAACCTAGCGGAATAACATCAATTCATTATAGTTCGTGGTTCATCATCAGCTGCATAGAACCTCAGCATAATAATAATAATAATCGTTAAAAATCAGCTTATTACTCACTAATGAAGATATTTATGTGTCGAATGATGTGAATATATTCATAGGTTGACTATACGAATATTCTAGGGTAAAAAATTAAGAACGTAGAGACTGCACTGTTTAGAAATGAATTGTTAATATATCATGATTATGTAATCTTTAGATTAGATAAGAAGTGACGATTGACAATTCATGTTGTGAGAAGAATTGCTTAAATAGGCTGAATTTTAAATGCATAATATTATTGTTTAAGTTGTAAGCAGCTAATGGGGAACCGCAAAATATATTGAAGTTGTGTCACTATTCTGTTACATCCATTGTTCTAACTCTAATCAAATCCCATAATCTTATTTTTAGAATTTTGATTGTATTAAACTAGTGATTTTATTTTTTTTTTTCATTATTTAGTCATCAACATTGTCTGTTCTTCGCACCACTCAATTGTCTTATGAAAAAACTTCAGATGGCAAAAGCGGTATAAAAAAATTTTTTAATGTTTTTCTCTGTTGATTTTATTTTCCTGCTTATCTATATCATAATTTGATAATTGTACATCAGAAATTTGTTAATAATTATATTGGATCGCGGTTCTCTTGATATTAATAACAATTAGGAACACCTATATCGGCATGTTACTTGTTATCGATATCTTAATATCTATTCCACAGCGTTCTTATGTTGACTATAGACACACACTTATCACGCACATATTAGTTTTTGGGCCTCATACTTCTCGAACCAAGTAAATTTCCCATTCACTTCACAGACACCGTAAGTTTATGAATAGGAGGCGAACCTTGTACTTTAATTGATTGTAGTTTAAATGTACTAAAATGAGTTTCGTTTTTCTCGTGTATATTGCATTTAAACAATAAAAACACTTAACATAACGTCAACTATAGACTTCTGTTGGATTTCTTTGTATAATGTGTTAGTCACGTAAATAATTTCTGTTCTGTTAATTGTATTGTTCTTTCATTCACTCCATCTAAGTTTTAGGCATCGTTATAGTTTGTATTTCTTTTCCTGCGTTATTCAAATTACATCCTTGATTTTATGTAGTCATGATCTTATCTTAGTAACCAGTTAGGATAAGTGATATTCTTGTATCTAAAAACAGGGTAATTGAATGTTTATACTGGTAAAAGTATTTCTTTCCAGACCAAAAAGCTAACAGTGTTTGCAACGACAGTCTAATGAATACTGAAGTGCTTTTGAAAATGGGAAGTGTATATTTTGAACTGAATAAAATCCTACTTTATGATTTATTCTGTTTTGATTTCTGGGATTTATCGACATGCATACTACTGACATTGTTTATTGTGAAAGTTGTGGTCAGCCATAGCTTGCCCATAGATATTCAGTGTTTCAATATAAGTTTTCATTCATGTTTTAATGTAATCAGTTCCACACAAAAATTCTTTTCATTTCCAATACACTCTAGTTTTTACAGGTGATCAAATTACTCAGCGCAACAATCCATTTTTTCGTCGTTCAGAAAGCGTATTGTCTTTATCAGGTCTTGGTCCTGATTTACTGGATGCACCGTTATCAGAATCTTTACCTTTGGCGTTGCAACCACAATTGTTACAACCAACCTCTGGAAGAGCTGAACTATTTGGATGTGATCGGTAAGCGATCGGTTTTAGTCTTATTCCAATTTATTGAAACTTTATGTCTTATGTTTTGTTATGTATTCATTTATCCTTATGAATGACTTTTCTGTTTTCTCTAGACTTTTACCCTTAAACTCCGCAACTCTTGTTTCCAGCACTCGAAAGAATGATCACATTCCAATACACATGAATGCGATGTCCAGTACATGGGGGGAACGAATGTGTGGTGTCCATATTACGGAAATCCCTTCCATCAATGAGAGCGATGATACGGAGTTCCAGAATCCTGATGTACAACAGTGTGAGTGATTTCTCAGTTAAATTTTTATGTATAGCGTCATATATAGGAAAGATTGGTTCAGTTATGAGTCGTCTTTTCGGTTAATTCGTTTATAAAGCTGTGCAATCACAAGCGTGTACTTATCGTTCAAAATGTTAATAATGTCTTTTAATGATGATAATATTAATAATAATGATTATATATATATATATATATATACGCTGCTAAAATTACCGAACATTTTTAAACTCTTCTTTTAGTGTTAACAGGGGCTAAGTTCTTGGATTCTGTTGGTCATTCTGCTACGCTCCTCTCACGGTGGTGCGCATCTTTGGAATTTTTCGGACGTCACTTCACTTCTGATGTTGGGTCTGAAAATGGAAGTTATATCTTTGAACTTGATGGTTTTTCAGCAAAAGAAGGTAGATTTAGAAAGCAAATGGAACGTTTGCGTAATCTGTGTCGCAGGGATCTGGTTTTAGAGGTAATTTCTGTCAGTTAGTTTTCCTATAATTCAGATCTCCTAATGCTCAACTGTGATGAAAAACTGACTGCTATTCTCAACTAATTACACTTTGCTTCATATTTGGAGTTTTTATCCAAACTAAAAAACTACTGTTCACATTTGTTCATATCTGCTTTACGATCATTCATTGTTCAGCTAAGATTATATAGAATATAGTGTAGTATTTTGAGAACCAACCGACTTGAGTATCCGTACATAGATATATTAACCACTAGAATACATTTTGGTAAAGAAGGATCTTATATTGTACCTGATCACTTCCTACATTGTCATTGTCAAGAAACTGTATCTAATACATAGTTTGAACTAAATGATGTTTATGATTATTTATCAAATCTACAGATCATATATTTATGTTCTAGGATTGAATGTTTGTGTATCCTTCATTATCATTACCCTCCTCTGGATATATCTTTCAGTTACTTCAAGTTCATTTGGATTTCTCAGCTATCAAACGTTTTCCGTAATATTACATGGTTCATCTTGTAGTTAATATTTAATTGATTTTACATTCATTTTCTCCAGATTGAACGAGAACGTGGCCCATTGATTTTAAACACTATCAAACTGTTAAACATGGAATATGCTAAACGTCAATCTCAAACACCGGTAACTAACTTGAGTAACACATCAAATGGATCAGTGTCTAGTGTAAATAATTTTCCCCTTCAGTGTACCAGTGTAAACACTCATCAACGAGACTCACAATCAACGCGTCAAAATACAAATACTAGTCAAGTTGCTATTTCTCTTCTTCTAGGCACTACTACAGATTCTCCATTACTAGGTACATTATTTGGTGCCAGTCCAGTAACTCCGACTTCTTCCGTTACTGCAACTTCAATCGTTTCTGGACAACAACCAATACTCTCATGTCGACGCATTAAAGTAACTTTCAAAGATGAACCTGGTGAAGGTAGCGGTGTTGCTAGGTCATTTTTCACAGCTTTTTCGGAAGCAGTATTGTCTCAAGAGCCTTTGCCTAGCTTGAATTTACTTCTTCAAAATAATTCGTCAAACTCTTTGGGTGAGTCGGTTAACTTCCATGTGATAACTTTACTTCAACATTTCATGTTAAAGTATCGTTTACTGTTCGATGCTTATGTTTAATTTGATTTCTTTGATTTATTCAGGTAATCAACAACCACATTTCCATCGTCATTATACTGTGTTGAGTCGTTCCCAGTCAAACAATTCTACAAACAGACCAACTACAGTCCTAGTTCAATCAACAACTGCTGGTATATTTATGTCCACCCAATCTATAACAAGTAGCTCTAACAGCACTCATTCCTCGACAGTAATGTCTAGTTCACTAAATAGTGGTCAGAGTGGACAGTATACAATACCTTCAACTACATCAACAACGATGCAGTCGTCTATTTCCTTTTATCCACATCAAATCCAACCTCGACTGCATACATATACAGTTGGATCACGTACGAGATTAAGTGCTTGGCGACGATCTGGAGGACTGTCTGCAAACGCCCCTCCATTTTATCCGTCTGCAGCTCAGGCAGCATTCTCCTCATCTGACTTGTCACTAGCTGATTCTAATTCTCAAGCAAGCTCTCCTAATCCGTCCGCAGCTAGACATCCTGATACTTCTAATATTTCTCACATTCCAATTGGAAATGTCTGCAGTATAGAAGTTCCGTCATCGAGAGTCGTGGATTCTTGTGCTTCATTGCAACCTTTAAGTTCTAATACAAATATTTCATCAGGTTAGTGGGTATATAATGTTAACTATTGCCAAACCTTTTCGTTGATCAAACTTAACACTTCACAAGATTTTAGCTTAAGTATTATTCTGAAACTTGGTTTCTAATTGATCTGGCTTTTTCGCACTTCGTCTGAACTTACGGAAAGGACGTCATCTTTCCTCAGGCCTGCTCCCTTACATTTTACAACCAGACTAATGTCACGGCGCGGATAACTATCATGGCCTTGGTTAGTGTAATCTGCTATAGTTTTCATTAAAGGGGTAGATTGATCTTTTTGCTATTGTTTTTAAATGAATACTAAGTGGCAAAATAATAAAATAAGAAATTTTGTGTCAGCATTCTTACGGAGCTTGATAAGATTGTTTAAACAGTACTAAAACAAACTCTTCAATCAATAATAAATTATGATGATATACGTAGTGAGATTTAACAACACAAACTATCCGTTTTATGCAGACAAGTCTTAAAATCTTGTGACCCTACATTAAAATCTGAATACTACTCCAATTATTTGTCAGTTAATCATTCAAAAAATTCGAGATATCAAGTATGAATTAACATAAATCATTGTTTCACTACATCACACATCGTCATCGTTTGTTACTTGTAGTAAATGGGCTTGTTTTTCTTGAACGGCCTGTTATCAAGACCTTATTTCCGATTACTATCTCTTACTTGTACCTTATTCTTTAAACTTATTATACGTCTGTCTACTTAGTACCTTATCGATGCATGTTACACATTAAAAACATATGACAACATGCTATCTCAATTTTCTGTTATCTTCGTTAATTTGTTAAAATCGCTTTTCTTTATCACTTCTGAAACCGTTACTATTTGTATACCAGTTATATTACTCTCCTTTATAATTTAGGATCAAGTCCAAGCAGAACTCAAGATCCATCTGATAGTAGCAACAGGAATATTTTACTAGTCAACTACGAACTTTCCAACTCTAATCAATCTTCTGAAAGTAGCAACTCCACCTCTATCTGCACCAGACATGACCTGGCTAATGGAAGGTCTCTGGGAAGTAGACTATTTACACGTATTCAATCTCTAGTAAGGAATGAACACTTAACTGCACGAATCACTGGAATGCTTCTTGAATTACCGTCATCAGAGCACTCAGTTTTATTAACAAATGAAGAAGCTTTATGTAATCGTGTTGATGAAGCAAGAGCCTTAATAACAATGTCGGAATCAAATGATCAGAAGTAAGTTATTTGTGTTTTCCACTTCAAGGTGTTGAATTCTCAATCAGCCAATTGTTTTTCACTTGTTCCGAATGCAAATTATGACATAAACCGTATTTCTGGAGGACGTACCGGACAACTTATGTTATGAATTTCACTTTATTTTCTATAACTATATGAAATAAACATTCCTGTTAGGACTAAATGACTGGTTTGAATTTTACCTATTTTAGCCGAGTTGAACGTCCGCGCACGCCTTCAGTTCTTGAACGCTTAGTTAATTGGCAAGGGGTAGCTTTAACTGTTGCAGGTGTTACGTCTGTCAATTCACAATCCAATATGTCTTCATCATCAAGTACAGTTACAGAGTTAATAATTACAGAAGATGCTGAGCGTGTCCCCCTTTTCTGGCAACCTGGTTTACAAGGTTATTACTTTCCACGAGCTATTCCTGGCATAAACTTACCTTCGAATCAAACATGCGATACAGTTAAACTAGCTGCACGCTACTCTATTTACAGGTGGGTTTTCCTTTCATTATTCTTTCGCTCTTTAGTTCGTACATATGCATTATCTGATTCCCAGTTTTGTCTTTACTTGTAGAGGTATCGGTCGTGTAATTGGTTTGTGTTTACTGACAAATGAGACATGTCCCTTACACTTCAGTCGACCTGTTCTCAAATATATCCTAGGTCGTGTAATTCACTGGCATGATTTCGCCTTCTACGACCCCACGACTTTTGAAGGGTTGCGTCAGCTGCTCTTGCATACATCCGAAGGCTCTTCGAAGGTAATTTCTATTTTTGTTCACTATTTCATCTCACTCGATGTGCATTTTAACTTTATGACTTTAATCTTTATTAAAATTACTAGCTAACCTTCAGACCAGTTGTATCTTTTTTGTGGTTGATGTATATCAGTGTTAAATAGTTTCCCCTTTGCATATGTCTCTTTCAAATTTTAGTCTCAGGGAAGTATAGAAGATTACAACTTGACTTTCTCACTTATTCCTGCCTTGGAAGAAGGTGGTATGTCATCCACAGACGCGGTTCGTCAACCGAATGCCTCTTTGTATGCTTTGGTTCCTGGTGGAGATGAAGTTGAGGTTAATGAAAGCAATGTATTTGAATTTGTTAAGAAGTATACAGAATTCAAAATGAAAATAGCAGTTCAGGAACCACTAGAGGTATGAAAATTTTTATTGGTGTTTCGTCACAGTCAATTAAATTGTTCCATATTACTTCAGTGTCTAGTAAGTTTGAACATAAATTATGCCATCACAAAGCTTCAAGCAAGCATCCATATCTCAGTCTTGAATCGCGTACAATGTTTGAAGTAGTCTTGGATGTGCCAAAAAAATGAGCAGTTCACGAACACTGATATTTAAGTTAGCCTGTTTAGCTAGTCCGATTTTAATGTCTGAGTCGTATCAAGTCTGATAACCTACTGATTTTCCTGTGATTATCTCGGTAGGGTTCTTCTCCTTTCCCACAGACCGAACCATTTAACGAATGACACCCATTCGATAAAACTATTGTGGCGGTGTTCCGTTCTCTAAGCTCCAGCTCATCATCCACCTGATCTACAGATTTTCGTCCACCATCTCGACAAAGCTATCCCTAGTGCTTGTACTCAGTAGTTCCTATCCTTCAAAATGCATATGTTAGATCGTTTGCAACTGTCGTAAAATTTCGGTTACTCGACCTATCTCGGTTACCAGTGACTTGATGATAAACCCATCTTTTCAAGCCAGTTTTCCCCACTATTAATTGTTACTTCATAGCTCGTCAGCTGTTTGCAATAATGAATAAGGTGCTGGCGTTTCTAGGCAAAAGATTAGTGTAGCTGCAGGTGAAGGATTTCTTTCGTACGTAAATCGGTCGAACAAGTTAAATCTGGGTAGACTTAGACGAGCTTGTGTTAAATGGCGCACTCCTGTAAACGTGACTTCTCGGAAAAACGTTACAGCTACCGTCAATGGAGGGTGAGCCGTTTCATCCATCTGGGATTTACTTAATCTTCTAAAGCTTTCGTGATAAAATTGTAAGATCTGAAGCTGCTTACGAGCTGTGTACCCGCTAATATTCACTTTTTGTGAGTTGTGATATGCAATTGTCGTTGACAAGTTTAAGGAGCTTCTAGTAGATTTGAAGGTAGACAATTAGGCGAGATCGGGGCACACTAGGTCAATGTTTTTGGCCTTCTCGGTTACCGACAACACTGGCGGTGTTATTTGTGAGTATAGATCACGTAAACTTTCATACATCCAACATAACGACAAGTATGATTTGCCACAGTCAGAGTCCAGTAGTGTCTGATAAGTTGTGTAGACGTCAAGACTAGAGAGTGTGGTAGATTAAGTGTTTGAAATCATTGTTTATAATGATCAAGTAATTAAACCAGTAATATTGCACATAAAAAAAAACTATAGGTTTTTGGACACGGTGCTCGTACTAAATACGTGATACATAGTTTTGAGTTTCACAAGTACTTGTTTCACTTCGCACTAGATAAATCTGGTTATTCATTTCTTTTTCCAGCAACTCAGACAAGGTGTGTTTGATGTTCTACCTCGGAATGCCTTGGACGGGCTAACTGCCGAAGATTTGCGCTTACTTTTAAACGGAACTGGAGATATAGACGTTGATGTACTATCTGGATATACAACTTTTCTAGATGAGACTGGTACAGGATCAAACGCAGATGTGACCAAAAGCTGTGATAATACAAATTGTGTAAATCGCTTGAAAAAGTGGTTTTGGTGTACTGTTCGCAATATGGATATTAAGCAACGTCAAGATTTAGTAAGATCAGACTTTTATAATCTTTCTAACTGTCAGTTTTTATGCTAATCACTTTATCACATTGTTCTTTGTAGCATTATTACTATGTTTAATTTATTTAAAACTACACGAATATTGTTAAAAAACGCATAAAAGTCAAATTTCTCGCTTTTACACGGAAAAGGAGATATGTAAGTAGGTAAACGCTCAAAAAATTGGCATTTTTTTCACCTACTTTTAACTTCTATAAGTAATTTTGAGCTGGACACTGATATTTGTGTCAACATTTCAATAAAGTATTAATGATCCTACTTTTCACATTTATGCTTTTAGTTGTACTTCTGGACATCAAGTCCGACTCTCCCTGCCAGCGCTCAAGGGTTTCAACCTATGCCCTCAATAACAATCAGGCCACCTGATGATCATCATCTCCCATCTGCTAACACATGTATTTCGCGTCTCTATTTACCACTATATTCATCAAGGCACATATTACGTGACAAACTGTTACAGGCGATCGGAACAAAAAGCTTTGGCTTTGTATAATTTCTTGTATATCCCAATCAAGAACGTCTTCCTTCAATGATAATTCTTATTGTAAATTAGAAAATATGAGTAAATTTGCAAGTACAATAAATTAATCAGATTTTTAATTAGTTTTGTTTTATTGTACTGTTTCGAATACTTCATTAATATGTACAGCTAGGTTGTTAACACTTCACTGTCGTTAAGACTAGAACTGATATTCTGAAATTCTTGTTCAAGTTGGTCAAGTGTACATGCCAACTGTTCTGCTGTTTGCAGTCGACCCTCTTTGCGCGCAGCCATCATTTGTCCAGCAACGTAATCCATTCTATTTGCTACATCGGATAAATGCTGTATCGTAGTTTTCTTAACTTGGTGTTTCTCATAAGTGTTAGGTAGTTGGAAGAATCTTTGCCATGTCTTTGTAGTAGGATTCATAGTTGGATCTATGTTTGCAAAGTTTGGTTTGCCTGATACTCGCTCCATCAGCTGGAATAATGAAAATAAAAAGTAGATTGATAAATTATACAACTGATATTTAATTAAAACTAAGAAATTCCAAGCGTAGGATTTCAACTTAATTCATGCAGTAAATTATCCGACTTTTTGGGAAAGTTATGCGGAAATAAAACATTGCACATTTATGAACAAAATGTTTGAGACTAATGATACCCATGTTAACAAAAATCAATACCAGGTATAAAAATATGGGGTTTAGAATTTAATTGTATAATAAACTATGTAGTCCTGGTACTTGTAGCATACTTTACAGTCAGTCAGCAGAAGCTTACACTTCATAGTTTTCAGTTTATGTAGCTGTTTTAAGCTTAATGAAACCAATTAAACCTTTAATGCAATATAGCATAACTTACTTCCGAAAGAGCTCTATCTTCCTCAGCCCATCGAACAGCCAATTCATCTTTGCGCTGTGAAGTTAGGTTATCATATTGTCTAAGTGTAGGAAGAGCTTGCAAAGGTGGGAGGTAATTTTGGACAAAATTTCTTGCCCTTCGATAAACTGCTAATGTCAAGCGCGCCACCACCCTGTTGACATAAAGTTCTGAATTTGGCTCACTGTATTTTGCAAACTGTCGTCTGAAATCAGATAGTGTATAGAATTTAATTTTTAAACAGAAAATTGAAACATCGATTTTTCACTAGATAATTTGACAAAAATTGTTTTAGGATCCTTACTGTGAAATTTGGCTTAGCGACTTAGCGCACCAATGGACCCCTAAGAGTGTTGTGTCAATAAAAGTAAGATAAGATGCGTGAAGAGACATTCAGGTACAGTAGGTGTAAAAGGTTGTATAATTTCGTAAATCACATTGTCGACTCCAGTGTATTAACTGCTGCTACTGTTCTGGTTTACCATCGAAAGTCCAACTTTGATCATCTGAGTTTACGTGATTCAATTGTCTAGTGTTAAGTCTTATTGATAATAATGGTGAAATCACTAGTGCAAAACATTAATTTTCTCGATTATATCAGTACGTCAGGTGTAAAATGTTTCTCTTTGCTGATTAGCTTTCTAGTCATAAATCAACTGTATCTTAGCCGACAGCAACCTTTAATCTCAGAGATTTCATCTTAGTGAAGTGGTAGTAAACAGAACTTCAGTGGAAAATTATAACACCTAGTACTTATTTCCAATCAAAACACGTAGCGGTAATGGAATAACAGCAACAGTCATGAAGCCACTAACTTTTGGACTGAGTTGCCTTGGTAGGCGCAAACAACCCATTATGAATTTAATCTTCCTCGGATCACATTGTTTATAACTAATCCTTTCTACTATTATTATTGCAATGTTTGTTTTGAAAATATTATCTTGGTGCGGTGCGGCAATCTGAACTAATCTATGTTTCTTATAACTGTCAAGTCAATACCAGTCACTCGTTTTTAATAATCTACTGTATTAGTATTCGTTTCTCGAAAGCAGTTAGACTTACAATTCATGAAAACGATAAGAACAGTGGCCATACTTATTGAAAAATCGAAGCTGTGCGTTTAAAAGAAGCATTACTAGCCCAATAATATCAAACATTATTTCGATTACACGATAACTTCAATCAACTAATGTACACATTCATCTTTATACATATATATAGGGTTAAAAATAAATCTCAATAGAGAACGTACGAAAACAGGCTTACCCGAGTGCTTCAATTTTTTGTAATGCTTGCAACAAATCGGAGTGCATGGATCTGGCAGATTCTAGTGTATACTTGTGTTCCCCAGAACTAGTCAAAGGAAAAAAGCCTCTATATAGTGCACGATGTGTGTGTACAAACTACAGCTCATTTTAAAATTCAGATGAGATATTCAACATTAATACCAAAAACTAAGTCTTATAAATCATTAGAATTTAAATAAATTAAGTAAGGAATAAACTGTGAAAGAATAGAGGAAGTTAAACTATTAACTCAATCCGATTAAAACAATCGAAGAATCGGAAAAGTCAACGCTAATAGTAAAATTCTTAAGCTTAGTTATCCACTTATTGATTTTCCAATTCCTTTTCACCCTCAGAATTTATTCTTATTTTTTTAATCATCTAAGAATTGTACAGATAAAAAATTGGGGGCAATAAAGTACCAAGAAATACACTGCATATTAGAACGAAATGACTGCTGTAAACATGTGGAAAAGTCATATAATATATTAAAACAAAGCTAAATAGTATGCAGCAAACAACTATTTGCGTTAGAACATGACCAAAACATTTATGAATAATCCAATAGTGAACTACAGTAGAGTCAACATTCGCTTTTATTGTAAGCCATATTCGGCAAAATAACAAGCCACAGTTGTAAATCTATCTATGGAGTCGTGGCACACTAACAGATACTAATTCAATATGACTGTCATTCACTCGATAGCATCATTTCATAAACTAATCACTTCATTTTTTACCCAGTACTATCAGTGTCGGGTGCATGGGAGGGCGCTACAAAAGAGTAAGACGTAACCAAGAAAGTATTTCAAAATGAAGACACAATTAATATTTTACCGTGGTTAAACGTTACTGATATAGTATGTTGCCACAAAGTACCAGCAACATTTTAAAGATAATGATAGTCGAACACAGTTACCTAACTTGGAGGTCAAGTTTCGAAAACATGGGGCAGGACTTTCGCTAAAGCGCTTCACACTAGCTATGTTTCAAAATATGGTCCAAGTTAGTGTAACCCCATTTTGCTTCTAATATACATAAGTGGGCCTCGGCTTCTACGGTCATCAAAAGTTCACACACCTATCTAGATAAATAAACTTTTTGACTATAACCAGTATTTCACCAACGGACAGCAAGTGCTTACGGAATATTAAACTGGTATTCTAACGCAAATATTCTCAATTTATCACACTACCAAATCATGGTGTTCTAATAAATTCACCAAAATATACACAGGTCAAACAACAGATACTAAGATTAACTGCTAGTGACGATCAAAAATAAAACCTTTGTCTCACTTTAGACTCGCAGCAATGATGGTGTAGGAAGGTAACGACTCGCAAACTTTTTTCATTAACTCCTTGAATTCCTGGATATAAATGCAGAATCGAAACAATATGATCAACATAAAGGATCTACAGGAATGTATGTAACTAAATAATTTCTAGCACAGAAACCAAACTTTGCAAGATAAAATGGATACGTTCCGTTGGCCAGAAACAGTCTACAGTCACAAGTACTAGTCTCATTCATAAAAAAAGTTAAGGAAACACATAAACTGGCTACGAAATAACACAGCGATGACGTATATCGAAACAAAAACAAATTGTCTTTATTATTTCGAATGTCATAGAAATACTAATTCTACACTGACTTCATCCGAAGTCAGTGAAATCTTTCCTTTTAACTGGCTGTAAACCATAAAAACTCAATTGCCTGATGTATTTTTCTTTATTTAAAAAAATTTATATTGGTAAAAATTGGCATCAAAATATATATGTGCCACATAAATTCAGCGATTTGCGTGTAAGCTGCGAAACTGCCCCAGTTCTCAAACAGAAGCAAATGGTTTTCTTAGGAGGCTGGCCCTTCAAGCACTTGACATGGAGGTGTAATCCACAAGGAAGTGGACCGAAGTTAGGAGATGCAGTACAATGATAGCCGATGACCAAGAATAGGCTCAAACGTCGTTTCTTCCCTAAAGGTTTTGGAGTCGGTATGCAACCTTGGTTTGGTTATCCAACTCCTATGGATGGATAGAGTGACGAAGAATTAGAAAGTTTAGTATTCAAGAAAACACAGAATAAATGCACCTGCGCCATTGCAAACGATTTTGAGCCATGTCATTCAGGGTCTCTAACCATCGGTGTTTTCGTCTCGCGGACCCCAACCAGGTAGCCTACATATACCAACATGACTCAGTCCACTTGTCAGTGACCTCGGATTTCTGCCATGTTTTGGTCTGGACGCCCCTAGCATTCATCCAACCTACTCCCACATCACATAGCTTGACGAGGTAGTCGGTTGTTAGGCACATGTAACACATGTCCCAACCACCTCAACTGATGAAGTTTCAATATATCATCTATTGACCTGCCATCCTTAACTAGCACCCGTTTCCTAACAACAGCGTTGCTTAATCGGTTGTCCCACGATAATCGAGCAATTCTTCGGAGACACTTGTGACCGAAAACTAGTAGCCTACGAATATCTACAGCGATGCTGCATTTTCACAAGGAAGTGGAGTTAGAAAAGGTCGACTATAGAAATTTTACATCTCACCATACCTAACAGATTCCTGATAAAACCACTTGAAGAGCAGAGCTAACACTTCAAAATCTAATAAAAAGGCCACGTGCGATCGACCTGAAGCAGTTGTCCTTCGTGCTCTGAGGTCACGCTTCTAGATCGCTAAGACCAATGTTAATCCAATTTCTTTCTCAGGTTCTTCAAGAAACACACTTCTGCGGTGTGGGCTGCCCGAAAGTGACATCCGCCCTCATACCCGTAAAAATACACGAGATCAAACTAGTCACAATCAAATCCTTCCTACGCCTCTTAATAACTCTCTTACTTCCACGACTAACTTTTCTCATGTTCCTTTATCACCCTGCACCGCTGATGCAAACGACTCAAGTTCACGAAACGTTACTCCCGGTCTCCTGAAATCCCGATCAAAACTATATGTTGAAGCTTTTAATGTCCAGACATTGTATTACATAGGACATGCCTTCTTAGCAGGGAATTTAGAATCTCATGTCATTGATGTATTCTGCGTCTCCGACACACGCGTACGAGATCCGAGTACAGTGGTTATTTAGACTTCAGACTGTCAAGATAAAGAACCAACTCGGTTTGGGCTTCGTGTATCTGTAAGCCACACTGCCGCTTCCTGTGAACTCGCTGGTGTAGGTATAGAAGATCCCAGTAGACAGTAGCTTGTGCATTGTCTGACTAAACGAGACAGTAAAAACTCGGAAAGATAGAGATACTCGCCGCCGGCTCCTCGTTGTCTCTGCCTACGCTCCCACTGACTGCAGTTCAGACGAGGTAGATAAGTTTTAAGGAAAGCTTTCGGATCTCCGAAACGTTAGTCGCTCTGATATAATTATAGTGGCCGGTGATTTCAAGGTTAAAGTAGGTAGGCTAAGCAATACTGAAAGACACCTGGGTGGATCTTACGGTATCGCAACTCAAAGAACAGATAACTGCAACCGTCTGCCGCAGCTTTGCTCAGATAACTGCCTATTTCTGACAAATACCAACTTTAAGTATAAGGAAAAACTCGATAAACGACTGCCGCTCATTCTGGTGCACATGCTTGGATTCAGATCATGCTTTATTACGAGCGCGTGTTTATTTGCATCTTACTGGACATAGGAACGACACAACAAGTACAACCCTTAGAACCCTACTCAACGACAACAAAACCAAGTGTATCTTTCAGGAGTGACTAAAAAAACAGTTAGGGAACCATGTAGGCGATGCCAACCTCGAGGTAGCTTGAAATGATATTCCATCCGAAGTTTGTGCTGATGATGTTGTTTAGAAGAACAATGAAAGCTTCACAATCAAAACATCCAGCTCAGAGAACCAAACACCAGCATATTCAAAAAGCCATGGAAACAGCAATTGTATCTGTTAGTACGGTAAACTGTAAGGTTAGGGAGAAGCAGTGGATCTCAGTAGCGTCTACCAAACTGATAGATGCTCGGAAACTCACCCCATATGACCCTGAACATAACGAAGAGCGGAGTCAGCTTAAGTGCAGGCTGATAAGAAGTCTACACAATGATCACGAAAAATAGTGTGCGACGAAAGCGATAGAGATGGAAAAGGCAGCGGCATTAGGTTACAGTAGACAACTAGTTAGGCTTAACACAGAAACTGGTAGTAGAAATCTGACTGTTAGTGAGACTATCTTAGAAAAAGACGGCCTTATTGTTCATTCTCAATCTGGGAGATCGAATTGATATGATATGTTGGAACTTCATCAGTTGAGGTGGTTGGGACATGTGTTACGTGTGCCTAACAACCGACTGCCTCGTCAAGCTATGTTTTGAGATGTAGGAGTAGGTTGGATGAATGCTAGGGGCGTCCAGACCAAAACATGGCAGAAATCCTTGAAGTCACTGACAAGTGGACTGAGTCATGTTGGTATATGTAGGCTACCTGGTTGGGGTCCGCGAGACGAAAAACACCGGTGGTTAGAGACCCTGAATGACATGGCTCAAAATCGTTTGCAATGGCGTAGGTGGATTTACTCTCTGTGTTCTATGAAATTCTAACCTTTCTGAATTAATCATCACTTCTATCTTTCTCTTTCTAAATTTACCTCACTGAATTATACTTCTTGAATAATATCTTCGAACCCTAATCTCTCCGATTACTTCTAATACTTTTACTACCTCCACTTCTATGGGATTTGAATTGACATTTGTATCTCTGTGCTAAAGTGGTATGGCAGCTTGAACTGCTGTACTTACGTGCGAAGTTCTACGTTGCAACTGACTAGTTGACTTTTTCTTTTCCCATGGGAATATCTTAAAAGTTAAGTTGTTTGAAATAAGTTGCGCTAACTTGTCACATAGTTCTAACGAGCTTCTATTTTTTATTTTGATGATTCAAAAGGACTAACTGTTTTAAGTTAGACCTTGGAAACTTCATATATAGTTGATTTCAAATGAAACTGTTTCAGCAACATCGGAAACACTGATATCACCGCATAGGAGTAAGAAATGGCTAATTTTATTAATCATAATCAGCATTAATTTTTCAATGAAATAGGAAGTTTGGGGTAGATTTCATCAGCATAAATGATCGGTAGATAACCAGTACAAATTAAATGAAAATGTGTTCCTTTGTCTGAAACACAAAGATCAGTCTACTTTCATAAACCAAACCTAAAAATATCTTAGTATTCAGTATAGAAAGGATAATTCCAACATCACTGAAGTAACATTACACTAAAATGGTGCTACTAACGTTTCGTCTGGAAACATGACTAAGAGTCCAATATTCAAAAGACTAGTAAATCCATGATGCATTATTTTTTCGAAGAAAATAAACAACTAGTAATGTGATAACAACAGTGAATACAGTGCACAAGCATTATTATACAGTAACCTGTGAAGTATTACAGTTATTGCAAATGACCCACTCATTACAAAAATAAATCAACAAAATATAATCGTACGCTTAAACCATTAGACTTTAAGTATCAGTTTTGTATCAAAAAATCCGAAAATAATAATAACCCGTTTTTCACTAATCAACAATAAAGTTGAGTTGACTACGAATTATAGAAATTATGGAGATATTACAGTACCTTATCATAAGTTATTTTAAGTATAAACAATGCATTACAAAATTCATAACAAAGCTACTTACTATATGCATTTGGATGATTGGGGTATTGACTGATAACGTTTTCAAACTGTTAACTTTCCTCTTCAAGATAGTTATACAGATGGGACATACACGCAACTCATAACCTAAACAATAGAATATGAAGATGTGATATTTACTTATGATTCCAAAATAAGGAAATTAAGAGGCTATTTCTAAGAGCAATCAGTAACCGATGAGCACTCGGCAGTTTGCAAATAAATTTAGAAACGTTCTTAAATCATTAAAAGTTTGACGATATTCCCTAACCGTAACTTAATTTACACTACACAACATAAAAACCAGTATCTTTCGTCTGTCGACCTTACACTCTTGTGAAGCAATAAAAGTAGTGTTTAGGACCAAGAACTGATGTACGTACGTATAAAGTTCTGGGTTGTTGTTGGCTGACTGACATCATATCATAGCACTTCCAAAATTCGACTAGTATTCTTTTCACTTATTTCAGCCATAAAATTCATTGACGAAATCATAAAATATATATTAGGAGCGTGCTTTTATTATGCGCCTATTTATTTTCTTACACTATCTTTGCATAATAATCAAACATGGAATAGTCTCAGAAATAGCACATTTTATTCTAAATTTTTGAAATAAATGCGTTTAATCCCGGAGATGATTACATATCAATGTAGATGCATCATCTGGATAAGCAAGAAAAACTATCAAGATCAAGACCTCAAATCCACAAATCTGTTGTCAACCCTTCAAAGAATCAACAGAAATGACAATTTTACAAAGAGCATACAAATGAACCCGGTGGAGATTTTCATGAGTCATCATCGACAGCAACGTAGAACTTTGCACGTAAGTACAGCAGTTCAAGCTGCCATACCACTTTAGCACAGAGATACAAATGTCAATTCAAATCCCATAGAAGTGGAGGTAGTAAAAGTATTAGAAGTAATCGGAGAGATTAGGTTTCGAAGATATTATTCAAGAAGTATAATTCAGTGAGGTAAATTTAGAAAGAGAAAGATAGAAGTGATGATTAATTCAGAAAGGTTAAAATTTCATAGAACACAGAGAGTAAATCCACCTACGCCATTGCAAACGATTTTGAGCCATGTCATTCAGGGTCTCTAACCATCGGTGATTGTTAAAAGACTTGTCCTTTCTTATAAATTGGGACAATCAAGGATTGGGACCAGTCAGATGGGATTACGTGCAGTTCCCAGATCCTACCTCAGATCTCGGTCCATCTATCAAGACCCACTGTTCGCCCTCGTTTCAGACTTCCTCTCAACTTCATAGAGATTCGGAGGACTTATGTCGGCTTCCCATTCAGGATGACTGGAGATCGTGGGTAACTGAAGTGTGGCTGAAGGCCAGTCGAACTGATCCCTGAAGTGTTCTGCCCATCGATCTAATCTCCTGGATTGAGAATGAATGATACAACCATCCTTGTCCGAGATAGTTTCACTCATATTCGGGTTCCTAATACCGATTTCCCTGTTAAGTCTGAATAGTTGCCTATCGCCGAGTGAAGTTTTATGTTTATCTCAACACTGAGAGTCCTATATATATGTTCAACAAATATTTACAATAACAAAAACATTCACAAAACAATTGTATCGCACAAAATACACCAAAGAAATCAGAAATTTTACACACTTACTAAATCTTCTAGTCAATTAGTTCAAACGTTAAATTTATTACAGATATGCGTGGTTATATTTTGGACCTGTTGAAAAAAGGTTAAAACAATGTCTTGCTGGGGACTATACATATCTAACAAGAACTACCGGCTGACTGATGACTACAGCCAAATAATAAACCACTTACCATTTTGGGAAGGGGAAATATTTCTTTTCCGAAAAATAACTTCTGATTCTAATGAATGATTCGGATGATCACTAGTATTAGATGCATTCGAAGAGGTATAAAAAAGATCTAAATCTTGTCCATTAAGTGCGTGTAAAAGAGCACGAGCATTATGTAAAGAAATAAAATAACTGCAATCTGCACATAAAACATATCCACATAAACGACAATGATGTCTCCTGCGATATACAGGGTTATAGTCCAAAATAGTATTTGCTAAACGAGTGACATTAGTTTTGTTCGGCCAAAACTTTGAAATGTTCATATTTTTTTCTGAGGAATCCAAATGATTATCGTCTTCATCTGGGAACGCCATTTCAGCGCCTAAACCAAATCCCTTGCCACAGCATGGACATAGATCTACTTTCGCATCAATCCATGGCACAATGGTTTGTTCAAATACTGCAAATAAATAGATTTATTACGTGTTTACCTTTCCGATCACTTTCGTGAGTCTCTGCTACGTCTACTAGTTTTTCTAAACGTATCAACAAACGGTTTGTTTCCAATGAACTACGATTAACGTGATTTTTTCGCAACTGTACAAATTTTGATGTCAGAGACTGATGAGTACCTATATTCTAAAATAAATATTCAAGAAGCTTACCGATTGACTGAATTTCATTCTTCTTGTCATAAAATGCAGAAGTATTTGCATCCGGTTGTGTCTTGAGTACAGATTTAGTTACAGATAAGCATTCTAGCAACAGCTATCAAGGTTACAATAACTCAAACCTCCGTTTTCTGGGATATTGATATTTTGATGTCCTACTTTGAAATGCTGGCTCAATAAATCAGGAGTTCCGAATGTAATCAAACATTTTGGACATATAAATCCTTCTAATATTATTTCGTCAAACGGATTAGCCATATGACATACAGGAAAAAGGCATCTACATATGTTCTTTTATCATCCAACATGAAATATCTTAATGACGACTATAAGACAAAATAAATCGACAGGTGTAATGAAGTCTACAACTAACTGCTACTACTTTATTTTAAAAAATTTAAACACTTTTGTGCTATTATTAGAGTAAGAAGAACCAACAATAAGACAATTTTTCAGGCAAAAAAAGAATATTTGATAATCATATCAAGCTAGGTAAACAAAGAGAAGATAAACAGCATTTGTAGTCTACTAACCATAGGGATTAAACAGGGTTCAACTAGGAAGTCTAGATCTTTGAAGACGGTTGGAAACGGCATTCATTGATTTTATCGACTAATATGTAGTTTTATTCAGTGATCTGTAGAATTTTTCAACCTACTAAGTAAGCCAGCATACCAGTTACTTGGGATGTTTATCATGTCTCAGTAACCAATCAATCTGATACCCGGAAACCATGATGAAGCAGTTTCATTGTTGTCAGAATTTTTAGCTTCCGATCTATAGATTTCCAGGTTAAACTCTAACCCGCCTACTCCGTTCTTAACAGCTTTTTACCATCACTACCTTTCATAGTGTGGCTTGCAGCTAAGCACATGGATTTGCTCTTAGGGTGATACATACCACCTTGAACGCTTATATTGAACCTGAAAACTAGTCATCTTGTGGTTCAATGATAGGTGAACAGTGCTTCTACGATAGTGATGACAGATACTTGCAACATATCTGTGACGTTAACTTCCAAAAGTCGTTTCACAAAAGTACAGCAATACGAGCTGAAGTGATGCACAATATGTGCTCTTTGATTGGTAGACTTATATACTGATTCCACAAGCTTGTAAAATTAAATGAGGTCCTCTTATACGTGACATTATCTCGTCAGTAAATGAGCCACCGAAGGTTATGAGACTTCAGAAATCAATGAAGTGGTCAGAATGATTGAATACTCCATTGTGGTCCTACTAGTTACTAACGCATACTAGCTCTGAAGCAGGATTTCGCGGGTGGAAAGGAAAGGAAACATAGTAAATATATATATATATATATATATATATTACGTTCATTAATCAGCTTGATAACTGCTAATACTTTTACTACCTCTAATGCTTTTGAATTGACAATAGCTTCTCTGTGTTGATGTGTTATGGCAACTTGAACTGATGCACATACCTACGAAGTTCTACGTTGTAAATGGCTGACTGAATCATACAACCATGTATTTTACCAGTGTAAGAATTACGTTATACGTTCACTGTATATCTATAAGAAATCTATCTGAAACCCTTTCAGCGTCCCAAAGTTAGAGGACGGGGTTAAGAATGGGGTTAGCAATCCCCATGCCGTAGAAAACCAACTCGTTAAGTAGAACTAAGCCGATAAAATAATTCAAACCATCTAAGTGCTACCCTAAGAGTTGAGGGGTCTTTATTCAGAAGAGTTATGACGTCTAATGACGAAAACCGAGTTTCTTTGATGATCACGAGGCCGATGCCCATTCTGACAACCAGAGAAACCATCAATATACGTAGACGGAATGTTTGTACATTGTCATTAGATCGTGAGAGTCATTCAAGTTGCCACGGAAATGAAAAGACAAAACTCGTGGGTAACTAACATGAGTACAACCAACTAACACCAACGTAGAACTCCGAACGTACGTATATCAGTTCAAATTGCCATACCACTTTAGCACAGAGATACAAATGTCAATTCAAATCCCATAGAAGTAGAGGTAGTAAAAGTATCAGAAGTAATCGGAGAGATTAGGGTTCGAAGATATTATTCCGGAAGTAGAATCTAGTGAAATAAACTTAAAAGAAGAAGATTACGGTGATGAGGATTTGAGAGAACACAAAGAATGAATGCTACAGAGCCATTGCAAACGCTTTTGAGCCATATTGACATAAGTGAAGTACATTGGACGCAGTTTGGACAAAAGTGACTAGCTTCAAGAGAGATACTGTCATACTCCGACCTTGAACAGGACTATACCGGTGACAGCTCTATTTGGAGAAGACGCTGACAAAGAGGCAGAGACTTCTGAACACCTTAAGTAACAATTCAAAAATGTTCGAGATGCGATTCTGCACAACATTGAAATGCCAACTGCTCCTTCACGATTGACTTGCAACAGCACTTGAACTAGTGATAGCGAGTGAAGTAGTTGAGCATGTTGACCGCTTCACTAATCGTCGAAGTCTCATCAGTCGTGATTTCCTGGTACCTGACGAAATCTCAGCACGGTTACAGAAGGTCCAATTGGCTTTTACCAACTTGCGTCACTTGTAGCGTAGGCGAGATATCCGTCTGCTAACCAAAGGACGAGTCCACTGAGTAGCATTTCGCTCAATCCCATTCTATGGGCGTGAATTGGGATATTCGTAGGTTACTGGTTCTCGACTTTAGGTGTCTCCGAAGCATTGCTCGATTATCGTGGGACAACCGATTAAGCAACGCTGTTGTTAGGAAACGGGTGCTAGTTAAGGATGGCAGGTCAATATATGATATATTGGAACTTCATCAGTTGAGGTGGTTGGGACATGTGTTACGTGTGCCTAACAACCGACTGCCTCGTCAAGCTATGTTTTGCGATGTAGGAATGGGTTGGATGAATGCTGAGGGCGTCCAGACCAAAACATGGCAGAAATCCTTGAATCATCAAAGCCACCATGAAAGAGAAGACTGTGTTGATTACTATGTGTATCGTTCAATGCTGTGCGTCCACCAATCATAACTTTGAGAATGACAAAGTTCAATGCTGTGGTAAGCTTCAGTCAATCATAGAAACAGGCTGACAGACAGATACAACACAGAACTTCGTACGTATGTATATCAGTTCAGGTTGCCATACCGCATCAGCATAGAGAGATAACTATCAGTCCAAATCACACAGTAGTATCGATAGTAGAAGTATTAACAGGTTATAATTCGAAAGAACACCAAGAGCGCATGCACCTGCGCAATTGCAAACGATTTTGAGCCATGTCGTTCATTGTCTCTAACCATCGGTGTTTTTCGTCTCGCGGACCCCAACCAGGTAACCGACATCTACCGACATGACTCAGTCCACTTGTCAGTGATTTCATGGATTTGTACCATGTTTGAGTTTGGCCGATCATAGAGAAATGTCTAACATATGACTTGACCATTTTTATGGATGACCTAAACTCCAAGATTAGCATGGTCAACACTGGATATAAGGACATCATAAGATAACACGGACAGGAAGAAATTAACGAAAATGGTGGGAGATTCGCAAACTTATGTGCCTTCGACAAAGTAATCTTCGGCGGCTCATTATTCCCTCACAAACGAATACGCCGGATCACACTGCATGGAACAAAGTTGACCAAATCTGCATCAGCAAAAATCCAGAAGGACCATGGAGGACGTGAGAAAAAAGGGAGAAGTTGATGTGGCTTCGGGTCACCACCTGGTGCTGGTCAAGATGAAACTGGGACTAAAGAAGTACTGGACAAGGGGACAAACAGCATCACAAACGTTTAGTACGGCCTTTCTTTTGGATACTGGAAAACTCAACCAATTCAGGATAGCCCGCAGCAATAAGTTCTAAGCCTTTCACGACCTACTTAATTTTGGGGGAACTACCGTGATGAACAACTGTAAAGGGATCAGGGAAGCAATCACTTCAACATGTCATGAGGTTTGGGACAACAAGAATCACCACCACAAGGAACGGATCTCTGTTGGTATTCCGGATAAGATTCGAAAGAGGCGAAACAAGAAGGCAAATATAAATGTCAGCCAAACAAGAGCAGAGAAAGCCAAGGCACCAACTGGATACAAAGAAGCAAACAAGCAAGCGAAGAGGAGCATCAGAGCTGGAAGATCTAAAAGGCTGCAAGAAAAGGAATTATGGGACAATTGTACGATACAACAAAGAAGATTTCTCATCCTTATAAAATTATGGCATATAAATAGGTTATGTAATGTTGCAAGTGATAAATTCTCAGTTCCGTTAATCCAAGGGAAGGAAACAAAATGTATATATAATAGATCAAAACCCTTGATAATTAACTTCAAAATGATTCTGTCAAAGTTAGCTTCTTTACCCGATTTGTGTCATATTTAACGTCGAATCTATGATTACGGCCTCTTATATGTTGATTTGAAATTCCAGATACAGACAGCATCTCACGACAACGAAATCATCAAAAAATACTGAGAGTTGTGTTTCATGATTTAGTAACCCCCTTGAGACCAGCGAAATAATGGATTCTGATCAATGATTCGCTTATATTGATGTTAAAATTAGTAATATAGCATAAAGTCTATATTTCCTGAGATGACTTGAAAACCGAACTGATGTTTACCTTACTAGCGGACATAATGGTTTAGTAATAATCGTATCTAATAACTGATCAATAGTAATACTACCACGTAGATGCAGTATTTTGTCATAAACCCTAACTAATGCTCAATTTTCCCAGATTCTACGTTACTCTGATATGAGAAGAAACGAGTAAATACACTGAGTTCTAACAAATACTTGATGTCCTCACGAAGGAATCTTCTGTGGTTGGTATAAATCATTGGATATTCGTGTGTTTAATAGTGTAAAATTGTAAGTATACTTAGACTGACTCTGCTATGCGGGAGCCTATAAAATTGGTATGAACGTTTTTTAGTGTTAGGGTAAACTCGAAACTCGTGCTATCAGTGTGTCGAAAATATGCCTGATGGCATACATCGGTGATTTGCGAAGATAAGTGTAGTCAGACATTTAATCGAACGAATAAGGCCCCCTGTTACTGACAAATGAAGCAACTGATAAGAAAATCTACCAAAATTACTTACTTTAGAATAAAGTAAAATTTGGACAACAACTATTTACTGATGGCAGCAATGACCAGTCTGTTTGTTGACCGATCGTTTGTTTCACAGCTTATGGAACTACATTTGAGAACACGATAGGGATGATAAAGCCTTTTCATAATAAGATTGTGTGATTAGCTTAGTACATAACAATCATAATTAAATAATAACTATCGTAATAGTTTGCAGGCATTAGATTAGTGTTCGACCTGGCATTTTCCGATTCATGTTAATACGCTCTCAGAGTAGCATTTTTTGCATGAGGAAATTATATCTAACTTTTGTCAACGACCAATTTTAGAGTGATGCTTCGGTGATTCTTTACGCATGTCTTCTAAATGGAACAACAGTCGTACCCAGGTTATTTAACGGAGTTTGTCACCACATGTTTAACACCTGCTAACTTAATACTTTCTAAGCACCTCTGATGAGAGTCTATATTTTAACATATTAATTCTAGATAGTCTAGTTACTGGCCAGCACTGAATGTAGCTTCTTTCTACAATTTTCACCAGTCTGGGCTTTCGGCTCACATACGCCACAAACACTAGTCACTTTCATCATTCGATTCTGAATGTAGATGCTTCTGGTTTACATGCGTAAACCTGTGTAAACTCAAGTTTGCGAGTCGTGCAAATTCCCCGAAATATAGCTCTGCAAGGGGTTTCCAACACGTCTGAGGACATGCAATCAATTAATTTTTAGGCTATTTTTATTTGCAGACTGTTTGTGTAGTGTAACTGACAAGTTCGTATTTGTTAGAATTTTCGATTGGTATGATCTGTTACTTCGTCGACCGTATACGTAAGGTGTATTCTGCGTAGATGATGCATCGTGGTTGTTTACTACTCATAAGGAACAAAAGAGAAAGAAAAAAAGTTATATGAGGATTTGTTCAAGTGCGCAGTTGTATAAGGGTCACAATGAGATGCAGTTTAATCCCCTTCTTAACATAACTTCGTACCACTTCAATAACGGATTTCGGATTTTGCATACACAGTAGGCGTAAAGCGAGATTAAGTGTTTCCAAACAGCCTAGACATTATTTCAAAGATAAATATGGGTAGTGTTTGCACTAAACGAATAGCAACTGTTAGAACTTGACGGGGTAGTTGGATGTAGCATTGATTATGAAGTACTGAGTGAACATAATTGGCAAAAACAAGTGTTCGCTGTTGATCCTCGCAAATCAAGTTTAAGAGGTGCAAATTTATAATAAAATTTAATACTTATGAAAACTGTAATAGAGAATAATACTTTCCACTGACGTGTGCCGTTAACTTCGGGTGACGAAACTAGGGATAAACATGAAGGAAGGCTTTGTTTAGAATGGTTATAACTTCCAAAGTTCGCGACGTTATTGTCGCTGCAGTTATGATAATAAACAAGCTCGGACATTATTGCATGATATGATTGCCTAAGCTAAGCGACCCTATCAAAACTAGTAATTCGACGAAAATGATGTATGAATTTATAGGAATATGAATATATATTTATGAAAATCATATTACTTACCTACTTACTTACCTATTACTTATTTGTGCCTTTTACACTCCGTTTAGCATAGTCAGCTGACCACGATTATCAAACCTACTCTGTCCTTGGTTTTGCTTTTCAGTTCCGGCCAACTTTCCTTCATTCTTCTCATTTCCGTCGCCAATTCTCGATGTAATCTGTTTTTTGGTCTACTGCTTCACTTTTGACCTTGATAAATTTTATGTCATACCTTGAGTATTCTTACAGCCGATGTTTTGAACTCCATGAATATTTCTTCGACTCCCTACTCAGCTGTAGCTTTTTCGATGAGGAACCAGAGATTTATTACCTTTAGGTCAATCGACCAATTCGAAACATAAACTTATGTGACTGGCCATATTACTAACAAAAAAAGCATCAAGTTTGATATCTGTGATGATATGAATGTTCATAAGTTTTTCCAGTAGTATTAGACTTCCTTCAGTTGACATCGAAAGAGGCAATCAATTTGAGTTTTAATCTGAATGGACGGATTCATTATTCCTACCCGATTGTTTTAGGTTGATGTTCTCAGTGACATTATCACTGAACTGCCTTCAGACCAGCGATCACTTTTCCAATGTTTATGAAACCATTTTTTTATTATTTTACTCTATATTATTGTTTATGATTAGCAGTTTGCCAACAAGCCATGTGAGTGAAGAAACGGACGTCGGGCATATAAACTGAGAATCAGTGGTAAGACTGAATTCGCTGCTAACTTATAACTAGGAAAGAACACTTTGTGAATTATTTCTGTTGCTATGAATCATTACCTCATAGTTTAAACTGTTGGATACTTCGAAATAAACTGACAACCGTTTTGTCAGAGCTTGAATCTATCAACAGAACCAAAAAACTCGTTCCCCTACCAGCCGGTTTTCAACAAAATACTTAGTACTTTAACGCAAAAATACTACACATGTGCTATACAAATTATTGTCAGAACTACAGATTGTCTGTTTAGTTATTTTCGTTTGAACATTTGTTTCTATACACCTCCGTTAAAATACAACACACTCTTGCGGCGGTAGTTCGAAGAACGCATCAATTTGTCGCATTACTGAAATGAAGAAAGCTGCCCAGCCGAGTCGTTTTACCAGATTTAAGAGAACGTTTTACAACCCAGAGAAACATGAAATTTTAGGGAGGACTTGCAGACAGTGGGGTTTGTGTTCACTTCTTTGAATAATAAAATACTTCAGTTTTGATTTTCATATTTTACGTTGTGGCATATACATTTTTGGCATTATTTTTCATTGGAATGTTGTCGGTGTTTCTATTCGGCTACGTCAGTAAGAATGTCCCAACTCTGACTGGTGAACAAAGCATTCTAAGATTTCAACCAGGTTTGTTAATTATTTTCTTGTTGCTTTAAATATCATATATGTGATTATAAAGCGGTTAATGGTCTTTTCATATTTCTTCTGGTACTTTAAAGTTAAATGCCAATTTTTAAATCACATTTTGAAGGAAATTGAACTGATCATCACGCTAAATAATCACTACTGATTCCAAAATAATCAATGAATTTTATCACTGAAGTTTATTCTTACATAAATACTTTAGGCACTTTTCATTAATTTTTCATGGATTTATACAGCGTCGTTTGCGACTTCAGTACTGAAAGTTTTTACTTAATAGCACTATCCTTTTACTATTTTTCAAGGGTTACACATGAATAAGTTAATGACAGATTCATCAGCCTGATTAATGTTTTCTTTTTTTATACTGAACGGAGTAAGCGTTATACGTCATACTGTCCTGAAAACCAACTTTTTTAAATTTTATGTACATTGCTTTGAACTTACATGGCGCAAAACTGTTGCTTATTTCATCATTCTGTTTAACTTCAGAAGGCATTATAAATTTCAATATTTTTACTAGTTCTGATCAGTTAGTGTGATATGCTACTGCTTTTAGATCTAAAACGCATACAGTTTAGACGACGAAATGTAAAATCGAAAACGTTTTTGACTATTTTTAATGGGGCAAGATTGGGAACGTTTTCATCCATCTCTGAAACGACATAAAAATTAGGTGTTACATGAAATATGAGCCAAACGTTTTCTTGTCAACGTGTGGTCTACTTACGCAAAATGTTAAAAGAATTTTGAAAAAGTTTTCTCAGTTTGGTTTAAGAAGGTTCATGATTTAGCGTGAATAATTTCTACTGTTATCTGTCTTTTATACTTAAGAATGATAAATGTGAACATTTTGTACTAATCTAAACACGTTTCATAAATAAGTAGTAGTTGAAAATACTTTTGTAGTCAGTTTTATCGTTATTTTTATTAGTTTGTACGGATATGTATGGAGCTGTAAGCGCCAGATGAAAGGGAAGATCAACCCGTTAAATTGTGTTTGTCGCTCTATTGTTGTTTTGTAAAATTTTACTGTTAATGCACGACTCGTTCAGAATGTCGATACTAGATGAAGGTGTATTGTAAAATTATTATATACTCCATTAATGTACACTAACTATAATATGGCAACCAACACAACCTGTTAGGTTGGATTTTAGTAAGTTTACATTTGGTTTAAGCTGTATCAGTTTTGTCGTAAACACTATCTTGAGCTGATTAAAATATCAAATATTTGTTGAAATTTTCTTTGATTTTTCAGTTTTGTAGTTAGGCTGCTAAAGTTTTGTAATGGTCTATTCACCCATACATGATGAGTACAAGGGTGTAAGGAAGTAAGCATTAGATATTTTTCCATAGTTTATAAGGCACCATTTGCGTGTGAATTTAGGATAAATCGTAGCATTAAATTCCCCGAATGATATGAAAGCCACTGGGTTTGCACAAAGTACATTCTGGTAGCTAAAAATTCACTGAGGATTTGAGATGGGCAGTCTATGAATACGTGTGAAGCTAGTGCAGTAAAAAATTGAGTAAAGAGAATAATTATGTTCAAAACAATTACTCTTTCTTGAAAAACCCACAGCAACAGATGCATAGAGATGATTACAGAAATACTAAATTAAATTTAACTGAAAACATAGCAATACAAGAAGTATAATGGAGCATCAGAAGTAATTAGGTAACCTTTAAAAATTCCAAGGTCAGGAAATTACGTCATACGCCAAAATAATCATATACAAAGTAAATGATCATATTTGCCTTCCAAAAGAAAGTCTACGATATGAATTAATAAGTCTGTGAATATATATTTGTAATTCGAAAGCTTAATTCACTGATAAACCATCCAGTTTCTTACGAGGTACATTTGCTTTTCATTTGGAAATATTTCGAAATGCTGTTCCTTCGTCGTAAAGTCTGATACTACGAATTGAATTCGATTTTATTTAGCACCACGCTTAGAGCTGAAATCCCATTAAATAAATGTTTTTAAATTTCTTTTATTCACTACTCAAGTCTCAGAATACACGAACGTAGGTGTACATAAAAGGCACTGAAAACCCTTGCAAAATTTAAAAGGAAAAAGTTATAAACTTCGAACCTCAAAGTGTTTTGTTAAGTTCACTGCACAAAATTTTTGCTACGTAAAACGTTTTAGATCTCTGTATTTCTTTTCAAGAGCATAGATCCTAGTAAAAATATATGTTGTTTTAACAGACCAAATATGAAGATATGTTAAGTAAATCACAGGTTTGTTCCTAATTTAACAATTCTTTCTTGATATTTGCAAGACTTCGGATAATCATCCTATAACAACGTCCATAACGTATTCAGAAATACACTCATCAGTGATAACATATTCAAAGGTCTCACGTGACACCGAATTATTTTATCCCAGAGAGTCCAGAAAATAATAATGACAAATACAATTGGTGAATACATAATATATAAAAATTTTGAAGTAAAAATCAAATAATCGATTCTGTCAGAAAAATTTCGATCCTTTATACAAACTCTAAACAACAAACATTTTTTAATGTTAACGAAATGTAATAAGATCGGGAGATAGTATGGTAGAAACATATACAAAGATAAATAATATAAGACATAGATATGTAGGAAATTCACCAGCAATGTGTGTCTGATGTAACCGTAGTGTTACTTTTAGTTCTATCCCATTTCTTAAGGTAATGATCGTACTTTTACGCTTAAAATTATTAAGTATAAGATAATTTAAAATAAACCATAACTCAATAGGCCATTAGAGTTCATTGATTTTAACATAGTCAGAAGAGAAAAAACGGATATGTCGAGCAATAACACCCGTTTAACCGACAAAATGTTTTTGATAGGAAAATGAATGTTGTCAACGAGAAAAGAAGCCAACAGCAACCTCTTGTGTTATTCCAACCTTAAATGGTTAGGGAATGGAGCATTTTTTGCTGTGCAAACGTTAGAACTCTACCAATTAGTTATCGTGTTTCAGTGTTTCTGTCAGCATGATTTCCGGTAGCGGTGGTTTGGAAACAGAATCAAAAGCAAAATCTAGCCTTTAAAAGGGTAACAGATTTATCTCCGATCTTTTTCTAAAATGCGACACTATGTTGATATTATGTACAAAATAATGCTTATTTACCATTTTACCTAAACTGATATCAATATAATCTTTAACTGAAAGTCAAAGTATGATTCACTGTATTTTTCTAACCAACTTCAACATTTGGATGAGCCATATTTTAAGTTATTATAACTACACATGCCTTATCGTTTTCAAATAACTTCGATTTCGTTTCTCATATGTTTAAGGAGAAAAAAGATTAATAGTTATTCATTAAAGATTTTTAACGGCCGACGTGGAACATCAGTACATTAGTTGACAAGAAAGTTATAAGTTTAGTCGGGTTCCAAACACTGAGGTGAAATAAGCGATGATAAACATTCTAAAACATAATTTTTAGTAAATTTTTGGCTACAACACCTCATTTAATCAAAATGGGAAAACTGGAACATTATGGTAAGGTTACAGAACTACATAAGATGCGTTTGAAAATGCAGGCTTCAGGATGGATGCGAACGTCGGATTATCTCATGACTTTGAATCATGTAAATGGTCTTCACACATTTAAAAGACTTGATACAAAGCGAAAGCTTGCTTTCAAAGTTCACCAGAATCTTTCGTTCCCTCTGGAATGCTTCTCATCATAAAACGTGTCTCAGGCGTACTGTTGAAGGCCAGAATTAAAGATCACTACTGACTACGTCTGCCATGTTTTCTAATCAATGGTTTGCGTAGAGATTCCACCATTTGGTTTAAAGCATATTTTTCAAACATCTTTAACGGTTTATAATTCCTACTTTTACCATTCAACAAAACAATATAGTAATCAAAAACTTACCGAACTGATTAGGCGGGACTCATATATGAATTGCTATAAACAAAATCAAATGCACGATAAGCTGAATCACGTCCAAACAAGCTAGAATGCAGAAACTCATAAAATGAGGTCTAAGAATATTTGTAAAATATAATCAACTCAAGCAAGTAATAAAATGTGCTCATGCCTTTAGACCTGTTTCAACCTTAACCAACTATTCATTACAGTCTAGAAAGGTGATAAAAATATATAATATCACCTACTGCTCTCTTATTTCCCAGCTCCGAGTGCTAAATCGTTCAAATGTTTGTTGGTGAGGTGAATCGCATTATGTGAAACGAGTACTGAATAACTGAAAGTGAGCACTTTACCTAATTAGATTCGGACACTCAGACGAAATCGCGTTCATAATACTTAGTTATGCAAGCTGGCACAAAGGGTATGGGTACATTCGGGTAAAGCATAAAATACCTGGATATGAGACCAAATGGTTTTGTCTATTCTTTGGAATTATTGATTGTTCATATCATATTTTAAAATTGAAAGAATTTACGAGGTATCAACTTCACTTGAGATATCGAGTTTGCTCCATTATAAAACTAGTAACCTTATTGTTTGCTTTTGTTTATTGCATGGAAATCAAGCTGTCAGTTTACAGTATGATTTTTGAACCTCTATAATGACGTTTTAGTTAAGGGGCTTGGCATTATCGAATCATTCTTGTAATGATTTAGTCCAACTTTTAACCAAATAATTCTGTTAATTGCTTTAGGACTATAAGAAAGTATTGGTGTGTTTGTGTATCAAATTCACTTAAGAGTAGTCATATTACATCTTTTCATGTTTATGATTGATCTTTTGAAAGTTTTCAGGAAGCCTCTTATTGAAAAACCTGGTGCAATCATACGAAAGTTTTGGATGTTGAGAGTGCATAATGACTCATAAAAATATGAATGCAGATGACATCATCACTGTTTTCCTTTTTTTGACTTCCAGTTTAAGGAAAACCACTTAAATTTTAGTCTAACTTAATGGAAAATCATACATACTTTGATTTGATGTTTCTATTCATTATGGTGTGTTTTCATGGAGTAAGGCTGAGTCTATACATGCCAACCCTACAGAATTAACTTTTATCATTACTAGGTCGAACTCATGCATCTGTGCTATGAATGTCTAGCTTTCCTGGCTTACTATTTACAGTCATTTAAAATAGATCAATTGAATTGTTTGGGGAAGGGTTATTCTGACGTTACGCTTGTAGGTAATAGTTTCTTACGTGTGATTATTTAGGAGTAACTAGTTCAAATTTAATTTCACTGTTTGGTATTCATTTTCCTTTCATCTAGGAATAGAACTTGCTGCAAGACCGAACCCTTTTAGTACCTTTATCCAAGTTGCAACTTTCCAGTCTACAATCAATCAACCATATATTAATAAAGTGAATGAACTGTTTAATAAATACAACTCAAGAGGTCTGAATGAAAAGTGCACTGGACCTGGTTTACATCCACAGAATCCAGATGTTCCTTGCAGCTTTGATTTGAGTGATTTAGGAGAATGCCAATCAACCGAAAAAGCTATATTGGAGGGAAAATTGTGTCTTTATTTAAAAATTAATCGAGTATGTTCACGTGTCTTTTGCAAATAGTTCAGGTGTACTGATGAAATTTCGTATTATAATTAGATATGCTCACCCATAAATTGTGACCGATTCGGTCTCGTGTACTGTGAGATGTGTTGATTGTCTCTCTTTAGTGTTTATAAATTCTCAGCTGCTTAATATGAAGTTGCAAAGCTGTTTTGATCATTTATATATATTTAATTTACTTAAATGACGTATCCTACTTCTTAATTCAGTGAATAGACTCATTTGTGTTGCAAAACTAACTTTTAATCAAGCACTTTCAGATTTTAGTCGGCAATATCTCTATCTATTAGACAAACCAATTTACTATATTTTTCAGTCATATTTATTTCTTCAAGCCAAGTTATCTCTGTACAATTCTGCTTATATTGTAGATCTATGGTTGGTTACCTGATTTGGAAGATCCTAATACATTCCCATCCCCTGCTATAGAATGTGGAGGTACAGTAAGTGATACTGACTTCATTTATACATATACCTAAAAATATCTTGTCTATTAGGGGATTACAAAAGTGTACTGATAATAAAAGAACCATTCTAATAGCCAGGTGGTTCAAATGGGAACCTTTTGTACGGAATATTTCTAGTTATTCTTATATTTATAATAGACCATTGTGATTTGAAAGTAGAGTTCTGCATATTGATAGTTTGTGGCATTTCAATTAATCCGATATGTAAATTATTGTATTGAGTAATGTTTATTATAACAGACATCCGAATCATGCTATGTATAAAATAATATCTCATTTTAAACTTAGCTGAAGTCAGTTTTAAGTAAATATGTTGAACAATTGTATACATAACTGACTACAAAAATTCATAAATATATAATGTATAAAAGGAAATAAACACTTTTCTACAGTTTATCATCCTTCTTATTCAAAAGTCATTATCTTTATTTGTTAATAATAATAATAATAATAATAATAATAATCATAATAGTAATAATGGTAGTAATAACAATAGGAATAAGAATAAGAAAAGCAGCTCAATCATAAACTTACTATATAAATTTTTGAAAGCAATAATGTATAGAGTTTTAGTTAAGAAAAATGTAACCGGTTAAAAGAAGACAACCATGAACTAGAAATCCAGAACCAACTTCACTCATATCTATTGAATTATAACAGAACCAGAGAGGCAAACATATGCAGACTTATCACATGACACTTGATATTTAGATTTGTACTGATTATCTGTCTATTATTAGCACGAATCATTATGACTGGAGGAACTACTTGGATATATTGATATGAATAATTTAGTCGACACTGAACTAGCTCGGATGGTAGGATTGAACGATTTGCATAAATTATGCCTTGATTTTTCTATCAGATTTGGATTTTTAGCTGATAAGTTTTAAGTCGGTCGCTGTGATTGAAAGTGTATTCAATAAGATGAAGCTTTTCGACTAATCAACAATGATTATGGGTATTCGTTGATTATTTTATTTGAATCAAAATTTAGGTAAGACTTTGCTTTAGTGTTATAATGTTACATACAAATAAGTTGTTCTGTCCCAGATAAAATGTATCCATGAACTGTTATCCACTAATTAAGTTCTGTTATGTTAATCAGCATCAGAGATCTGAATAGAATACATCCTAACTCTTCAAACAAGCTACTTCAGCGAGAAGGCAAGAAAGAAATAGAAAGTCAGTTGGTTTACAGAATCATGTCTTTAAATACTGATTAGTATATACACATTCTTTACCTTAGAAAATGAATTCATTTCCTGATCACTCATATACATTCATCCTTGCGGACATTTCTGCTGGTCATCAAGTGGCTTTCTCATTTGGCCATTTCTGATTGACTCGCTTTATAAAGTTTTTGTCAGTAATACTTGCCTGTTATTCTTTATAGTACATAATTTTTCAGTTATGCTGAATAAAAACATTACCATGAGTTTCTGGTGCAGATAAGTGTAATCTGTTTCTATCTACATGTTTATGAAACTCAAAATTTCAAAGACTGATGACACTTAAAAGCTGATCGCTTTTTTCTAAAAATAACTTCGTAATAAAACAATTTCCTAAAACTTTCACATCACAGGCGCAATTCGATTAAAAACGATTGAAAACCAGAAAGCACGGGACTACCATTACATCTTACATATGGCGTTTCGATAGTACTCATTGATGGTCCCACTAAGGATCATATGCAAAATGTTCAGGCATCATGAAGAGCGTCCAAACTTCAGAACACAGTGTTCCTGCCCAATAGTTGGTTGGGCAGGATAGTTGGTTCAGAATGTTTAATAGCCATCATTCATTGTCCCGGGTTCAGCATAGATAAACCCCACGGGTCATTGCCTCTCACCAGAACTTCGAGAATTATTTCTAAACTTTAGTTACCAGTTATTTCTTAGTTGTAGACACAAAAGCCCTCGAATCGATTCTCATCAGGTTATTGGGTGTGCGTTATTGAGGCATCCTAATATAGCTAGAAATAACTGTTCAGGTCCAGCTGGTTTTTTAATGATTGTTTAACCTGGAAGCACTGGACGGCCGTTTCGTCCTGGTATGGGACTCCTCAGCAGTGCGCATCCACGACTCCTGCACCCCGCAGGATTCGAACCCAGGACCTTCGGTATTGTGCGCGAACGCCGTCCAGTGCTTCCAGGTTTCTAACGGTGGTCTAACATTGATCGATTCATGGTTTCAAAAATGTGTAACTTAACAATCTTCACAACCCCGTAATGCAGATTGTTTAACCGTCATCGATATGATGCTCAAACGAAAGTAATATAAATTTTGGCCCAAATTATTAATATTACTATTAAGTTATAATATTAGATTTTATTATGCTATGTATCATTTTATTTTAATACATAAGCTTACTGATTAACCGAGGACATAAAATTCTCAAAAATGACATTATTTCAGTAGTACAGTTAAACGACACTGTATTACCGATATTTAAAGAGAGTAATGTATTACAGTTTAATTTCGAATTACGAAGCTTTCCTACTGATTTGTAAATTTTACTATTTTAGAATGAATTCGATAGAGAATCTCTCGGTAGTGTAAAATACTTTCCAGAATATACAGCACCAAGTGGAAAGAAGTAGTAAGTAGTCTTTCTCATAAATTGAAATCGTTTGAAATTACAGTTGTGCATAAAGTTTAGTCTTTCTACTCTTATGTGAATTTACCAATATGATATAATAATCAATGAGATTATAATGAACATATAGACCAATATCACAAATAAAATTGGAGAACATTACTTAATTTAAACTATACATTTTTGTAGATAGTTTGGATTGAGGTTAGAAATGTGAATCATTGAGTTTCGACTCAGCGGTGTAAAGGTGTGGAGGTGTTGAGTTTAATTCGTGGTTTTTTAAAAGCTGCTAAAATTACCAGGTGACTGAATAGTTGACCAAGTACACGTTATTCCAAGCTGACGCCGAAACAGATGGATGGATAAAGCAGTTTAATTTCACTAAAATGTCTTTATGAAATATGATATTAATTCTGTTTAAATGCACTGACATGTATACAACTCAGCCCTCTTAGATTTATGATTTACAGTTTGCTAATAAATTTGGTGATCGCTTGTTTACTCCAAATTCGTCAAACGGTTACTCTGTTTGGCAGAAAAAGAGATAATTTACTTAGGATTATCAAAAACTGATACAAATAACTTGTTTGATATGAGTTATAAAATGACATCTGTATGTACTTTATTTTAATTACTTTTGTTCAATTTAATGATGATTATTTAGTTAGAACGACACATAAGCGAGCAATATTGTTTTCGATTAGATCGTCATCAGACTTTACTCTAAAATACATGACTATTTATATGAAAATTTTGAACCAATCAAGGCAATTTGAGTGATAATCAGAATGAAATGAAAAAGATTACGTCACTACATATAAAAGGCGAAAGTACAAGTGGACAGTAGGAAGATAGGTGTACTGATAGTAGTAAGAAAGTGTGTAATATATCGAGCGTACTTCCAGGCTACTTACCCAACGAATGAGTGAACATCTCTTAGCATGGTTTACGAAAGGTCAATCAAAAACAATACGCAGTTCTATCTTAGCACACTTGGTAGATAGTGGTCACATTGTAGATAAATCTAGATCTTTTCGGATGATCTATCATATACCTCCATCATTTCCCAACGGAGTTCGACCCCGTCTCCTACACATTTCAGAAACCATAGCAATACGTACATTCAACCCCAATTTATGTGTTCAGAAGAAATTTGTGACACGCCTATCTCTTCCATGGCCGGATATGACGTAACTAACGATTGACATTATATTTTTTATTTTACTATTATTTTTACACATTTGTTTATTACGTAATTTTTTTGATGTTTTTAATGATTATTTGAAGTCTATTCATCCACCTTTGACCTACCAATGATAAAACTTTAGTTATCATACTTTTCATTTCATTGTGATTATCATTCAAATTGCCTTGATTGGCTTAACATGTCCACATAGAAATATTCATGACGATCTAATCGAAAACAATATTGTTCGCTTATATGTGTTGTTCTAATTTTCACAATAGGAATCTTTAAGATTATTTAGTTCTTTTCCTTGTATTTCTATAAAATAAAAAAAACACCTCTTATCTCGAAACCAATGTGTAACATTTTACTAGAATGACAAGTGATTTGATGATAATTTAATTTTATTGATCAGAACTTACTCATTCCAACTTGAACTTTAATCAATTTTAAGCGGATTTTGTCAGAAACCGATAAAAAGCATTTGCTTTCAGTTATCTGATTATTTGATTTGTTTTTTTTTCTTGACTAATTTGTTTCTATCATTTATTGAAGAAAAAATTGTTTTGTTAAAAGTGGCCTAATAAAAGTTTCCTACTTATTTGTTTGTTTTTTTTTCTCTTGATTTCTCTTCTATTTATACAGTGGTGTAATATCAAACAATTATTTTCCTTATTTGAGAATGAATAATTATCACGCACCATTAGTTGCTGTACAATTCTCTAATATCACAAAGAATACTGTTGTTCCAGTTGAATGCCATTTAGTTGGTTTGAAAAATTCCATGGGTGCTATAGGTTTTGAAGTATGTGTCGATGACAAAGATTCAGGAAAATAAACAACTCTTTATTCTTTTTAAAAAAAGTAAAAAAAAATTTTTTATCTCTGTTTCTATTATTGATGAAAAGAAAAGAATTATTTCGTTTACATTATTCAATTTATGTGTTCTTTAATATATATTTTTTTATCCTAAATAAACATATACATCTATTTCAGCCCATCTAGGATATTCTTTAGTTCACTTCACTCATATTTGAAAAACACAAACTTGTCTTTTATCTCTATTTTATTCTCTTCACATTGATCATTAAACCAGTCAGTCATTCATAGTGCTTATTATTATTATTATTATTATTATTATTATCATAATTTATTCATATTATAAACTATTACCAAGTATTGTATAATTTCCATAATTACAAATGCTACACTATTATCGCTCTACCACTTCTCTAGTTTAAAGTTTTAACTCACTTTTCTTCTGGGTTAACTAATTCTTCTTCAAAAAAAAAATGAAATTTGAATTTCTTCACGATTGAATTACACTTTTCTTCCTAACGAAATCGCTTTACTTTCTGTTTATTCTATATTTTGACGTTCTCTTTATTTTTGTAACAAAAATGAAAAGTAACCAGAAAGAACAATAATGGTATGGATGCTTAGTGAATAGTTTACTTATTCATTTTTTCTAATTTGAACATTATTAGTGGCCTTGTTATCCCTATCATTATTGTTATTAGATTTAATGTATTTCTATAAAATTAATACATGTTATAACAACTACTGAAAAATCTGCTGATTAAGTAGATAAAGGTTTATTATTAGATGTAGTCAAATGTATTTACAATAGAACAAATATATACATATATATACATAATTATGTGTCGATATTGTAACCAATAGTATTACTACCGTTATTTTCATGATTGTTATTACTACTACTACTACTACTACTAACACTTATACTTACTACCTATACTATTATTATAAATATTGATAACATATAATGATTAATGTTTTGTTTACGAATATGATTTAAATGAAAATACTTTGTAAATTAAGTTAGTCCTGTTCATGTCAATAAAATAATGTCTGTGTGGATTACTAAGATTTTGGAATTAAGTTAAGATTTTCAAATTGTGTCATTTGATTAGTCTTGATTTTAAGTGAACATTTTAAACAATGCGACATTTTCGTCATTTGACTGAATTTTTATACATGAAAAAAATCTACTTAGTTTAACATGTTTGATAGTACAGTCTGTATTGAAAAAAAAGAAGATTTTTCTTATAACCGTCTCGTAATGAAATTCAACAAGTTATTGTTTCGTAATTGGATCATTTAAATTTTTACTTATTTAGATTAGTACTTACTTAATGCGAACAATCAATAAGAATTTCTAACGCTATCACATACCGTCTTGTTTTAGATTTAATGATGTTAAATACAAAACAAACAATTCAGCTGAGTATTGTTTAGGTCTATCATCTTGATAAGAAAGCTGCCAAAAAAAATATAAAATGACTGAGCTAGAAGTAATACAAAACCAAATACTGCAATGAATAAAGCTGATGATAAGTTCAATTATTATGTGCGATTCATTCTCATTGGCAATTATCTTTATTTCCTTAATATTTTAGCTATGGTACTAACAGTAATGTAGCAGCTGAATTTGAGTCTTACGTCTCATTTAACTCTTATTCTCAGTTTACATATATTAGTACGATGGCTAAAGTTGTGCAGAAGCATTCTTACTTCTCATGAGTTCTTTGGCATTATTAAGAACAACTATGGTTAGGTTAATTTATCGACGCTGCTGATCAAAACCTTTTGAAAGCGGCCAGAATTCGTTACTTCTGTTTACCTTTTACTAAAAGAACTCTCCATAGATCTACAAAATTTTTTTACGCATAAGAAATACTGAACAGTAAAACTTTGAAGAGAAACAGGTAATTTATTAGGACGCCGCTTATATTAGTTATAGAGAAGAGTTGGCTGACATGAATAAAGAAAGGTAGTATTCAAGGAAACGTCTCGAGCTAGATTAACAACTATCATAAAAGGAGAGAGGGAGACAGTAAAAAATATTTAGTCTTTAAAAGTATCTATGTTACTCGCAACTATTATTTGTTGTTCCCCGTTCTGAATTTCCTTCTTTACATAACAAGTTGGCAGGTCTTTGGATAATTTTTTGACTTCTTCTCAACATGTTTTTTTATCCTGTTTAATTGAACAGTGCAAATATTTTTAAACTAGAAAAATGTAAACCTTGTTAATTCTTCCTTGGTTTCATCAATAAATAAACTATTCAGGATTTGATTTGTTGATTTAGATGAAGGGATGAGACTGCGCTTACATGTAAAGAAGTCAAAGCAATATGGAATACATATATTTTTGAAGAAGATATCGTTTATTGACAGAATATACACGCATCATCTTCAAACCAAGCAGGATACTGACTGTTTCCCCTTACAACTTTTCTGGTCCTCAATATACTCTGATCACGCCATGTATTTCGATCGCCTGATCCTCTCCTTTCTGGTAAAAACTTCTAAGTGACGTTCCTCTGCCCACTACTTATATGCCACTTTGTGAGTAGCCTCCACCACAACTGTATCAATTTAAGTAATAACTTTATTTATTACTAAACGTTTTGATGAAATAAACAATTTTTAAGATTCATTGTAGAGAGCTCAAATCTTCCACTATTCCACTGAGAGTTCTGTACGTTATCAGGAAACAATAGTGATAAACATAGACATTTTTCAGAAAATTCCATGATGTTTTAGGTAGATTATAAGTGTTCAGCTGCAAATCTGCGAGCTACTAACTGTTTCAGTTGTCATTCTTAGAATCTATTCTATTTGTGGTTACCAATTCATCCATGTTTTGATTAGTCGTGTAAAGAGGAAGTTGACGTATAATTGGCTCAAAAACCAAATACATGACTGTCACTTGAAAATCCTGGGTTTGATTATATACAACACTGAAACATTACGACACTCAGAGCACCTTTTGTTTACGAAATAATCACAAGGTAGAAATCATGCACCCGACAGACTGTTTGTATTTGAACCACAAGTCAAACTACTGATGAATAAGTATTCATTAATATTGTCTATATCTCTGTAGAAATAATCATTTCATAATTTCCATTTATTATAGTTCCAGCTTCAACTGAAAACTGACATTTTTCATTAAAGTTTCATTCATAAACTATGACATTTAAACTTAACTGTAAATATGTTTAAACATTTACCCACATATTATGTTATTTTATCACTGGTAGTACTTTTATATCACCCAGACTTGAACGTGTGTTGTCCAACTTACCTTCAATATCTATGAAAACGAAATTTAAGGAGAGTCTAGTTTAGATTAAGTTTCATGAAAATTCCCCAACATAATTTTAACGAATTGTTACAAAATTTAGTAAATTTTAAATCGGTTATAGATGAATTTCGTCATCCATAAAACAATTTAATTGGCCTCCTTTATTATCAAATTTTAAATATTTTCAGTATTCTGTAGTTAATTCATTATCTACTTATCATGTGACGAAATATTAAATTTCACCTTAACAATGAACATGACTTTTTAATCGGACAATGTATAAAATGCTTAGCACTTGATATTTAGTGAACGTGTATAAATAATAATATATAATTTCCGGCAACATTCGGTGATTTGTTTAGCAGCATGAGGTCAAAAACGTTGTTCACTATATTGTCAACAGATTTAATTCAATTCAATGACACCGATTCCACACTAGAGAACGAGTACAAGCATGAATGAATAAACTGAACACATATCCTAGTCAAATTATGTAAATTGAAGCGAAATATGGTCTAGTTTGCGTATATATATATATATATATATATATATATATATATATATATATATATATATATATTCATACATACATATATATTTGCACATATTTATCTTTATCCTACAGCACTGATGTGTTTTTGTAATAATATACATCGATTTAATGTAGTAATAATTGAAATTTTCTATATATTCATTATATAAGTCAACCGAAATATAGTGTGCGTTAATTGAAGTCAAAGTATGCAGTTACTAACCGATCGGACCCAATTCATGTTTATAGATCAGATATAAATTTACTGATCTTATTGCAAATTATTACTTTTAGAGTTTTGTTGATCTTAATTTTTGCTGGTTAATTTAATAAACATACTTCTAAAATGTATCATCATGCAATTTATTTTTTAGAAATATATTCATGTTATAATATTAACCATGGTTTACTGATTATTCAGTCTTCTTGATTTAACATTAAAGAAACCTTATGATACTGGATAGTAGAATCAGAATCAACCGGAATTAAACGTCAAATTTCTAGGTCTCTATATTAGCTTCTAAATTATATGCCACCAAATAACCCACCAGATATTTAAATAATGTATACAGAAATCAAACAGTGAGTCGTAGGTTCGAATCCTATCTCACTTCCGTCTAAACTGTCGGGTAGTACAACTAACCGTCACACTCAAGGTGCGGCCCAGAGCGGATTACATAAAACAGTAGTTAGCAAATGAATGACAAAAACAATTTTGATATGAGTTGTCAGCTCAAATCTCTTGTATTTGGCAATTAATCTTTCTCCAATTTATCTCACTGTCTGCATCACTGTGTTCAATATTGACATTTATTTGCAACCAGCTTCATGATATTTTTTCTGGTTAGCGTGTTTTTTGGTGATCGACTGCATTATGAAGACGTCGACATCTGGAGGGAAGCACGGTATCAACTGGACAGTTAGGACGCAGCTGGACGATCTGGACTTCGCAGATGACCTGGCTCTTCTATCGCACACGCAACAACGAATGCAAGAGAAGACGACCAGTGTAGCAGCAGCCTCTGCAGCAGTAGGTCTCAACATACATAAAGGGAAAAGCGAAATTCTCCGATGCAACACAACATGCACCAACCAAATCACTCTTGATGGAGATACCTTGGAGGACGTTAACACCTTTACATATCTTGGCAGCATCATCGACAATCAAGGTGGATCCGATGCAGATGTGAGGGTGCGGATTGGCAAAGCAAGGGCTGCATTTCTACAGTTGAAAAATATCTGGAACTCCAAACAACTTTCAAACAAAACCAAAATAAGGATTTTCAATACAAATGTCAAGACAGTTCTACTGTATGGAGCGGAAACTTGGAGAACTACGAAAGACATCATCCAGAAGATACAGTTGTCTACGCAAAATACTTCGTATTCGTTGGCCAGACACCATCAGCAACAACGAACTGTGGGAGAGAACAAACATGATTCCAGTGGAGGAGGAAATCAGGAAGAAGCGGTGGAAGTGGATAGGACACACACTAAGAAAAGCACCTAACTATGTCACGAAACAAGCCCTCACATGGAATCCTCGAGGCAAAAGGAAAAGAGAAGGGCCAAAGAATACATTACGCCGAGAAATAGAGAAAGATATGATAGGAATGAACAAACATTGGACAGAACTGGAGAGGGAAGCTCAGGACAGAGTTGGTTGGCGAAAACTGGTGAGCGGCCTATGCTCGATTGGGGGTAACAGGCGAAAGTAAGTAAGTAAGCTTCATGATAAGTCTGTTTGTTTTTTCGAAGTACTTAACTGAATCATAATCAGTAACACCTACAAAATTAGGTTATTTGTGAAACAGAAATATATTTCATCAGTCTCGCAATCGTTATTTTCTCTAGTGATGAGTATTGATTTTCGCGGTAAATAAAATCAATGATCTCTCATTTAAACTTGTAGCTGCCACTTTTATTATTATCACACATTACGGTCACAGTAACTGTCTAATAGAAAAAGATTTTTTCACCAATATGCTAGAATAGTTTAGTTTGAAAAGGCAAAACAACACGATCACACACAATTTACAATATGTACACAAATCAAATCTCTACAGAAAGAATTCAAACATTTTTTTCCTTAGCAG